ATATATGTTTGAGCAACCATTTCGGACCATGTTCACCTTGCCCTTCCTGTTTCTTCAAGCCTTTTTTTCTCAACTTGTAATAAATGGAAGCTTATCCAACTTCTTGACACGGTGTGTGATTTGGCGAAGACCAGGCCAGGATGACGTCTCGCAGTAGGGCCTCCAAGCGGGAGCCCCCCAGAGCCCCCCGCGACGAGTACGAGGAGGTCTTCGCCGAGATCACGACCAAGTTGTACGGGGAGCCGGTGAAGAAGATCGCGAGGGATGTCAAGACGGAGGACGAGGGCGAGGAAGGGGAAGACATGCTCGTGGATCGCAACAGCGACGACCGTCCCGCCTCTCCCGACCTGTCGCATTCCAAGCTCCTCAATGGCACTGAGGTCCAGGTGGGTCAATTTGTATGACAATTGCTGTTTGGTGGGTCAATTTGTATGACAATTGCTGTTTGGTGGGTCAATTTGTGTGACAGTTGCTGGTTGAGAAGTTTCTTTGCTATTTGTGAAGTTTCTTTTTTTTGGCTTTGCAACCTGATGCAAGTTATCATTGAGTTTGAATTGTTAGTGTGACTATGAAGCCTGATTGTTGTCCTGACGTTTCAGTCGTTCGTGAAGATTGTCTCTCTGGATATCCCAATGTCCTCCAATTGATTTGCAAATAATTGTGTAATCTCTGAAGAAATGTGATTCTTTTTTTTCTGCAATTCAAGTTGCCAAACCTGAAGGCCAGGCATTCACAGGGCATCTCCTCTGCTCTCAGGCTGAGCTGCTTGCTCTTTGAAAGCTGTAGTCTCATTGCATATGCAAATGAGATGTAAATCACATTCCAAACTTGGAACTAGCCCGTCAAGTACATCCCTGGCCGAGCTCTCCCGTTTCCAGCTTGCGTTTCTTTGCTCATCCGTCTCCTTTCTTTCACTTGGCAAAAATTTTCTGGTTCCTGATTATAAAAAATTAGGTCTGATGACCACTGTGAATGTGGACTAAGAATTTAAGATTTGAAAAGTATTAAGGTTTGATCAAGGAACAGACACAATATCTGCAAACTAGCAGGATGAAAGAATGGCATACCTTGCCTGCAATGAAGTTGGCCTCCAGAATGTGACTATCACTTTTGTTTGGAAGTCCTGTTGTTATGGCAGAAGGACCTCAGTTCCTGGAGGGATCCTCAAGTTGTAGCCTTTTTGCTAATGCGAAAAGATTGGTGGAAAGTATAATTCATTGCCTGTGTTCCAAACTGTCTTCTGCATATTCCTGTGAGAATAGTTACTGATTCCTTTGTGTCTGATTTATCTCAAATGATATATATTGCATTGAAAACAATTCCTCCTGGTCTATACATTGAGAGCTCTCTGCAGGTGGGAGACGTGCTGCTGCCGGAGCTGGCGGGTCTCCTCCGCCGCAATCGCGTCCTCCACTCGGGGGAGAACTGGTTCGAGAACGAGCACACGCTTCCGTGGACGACGTCCAAGATCGCCCAGTTCCATTGCGGGCAGAAGGTGTTCCGGTGCATCGAGTGTCAGGCGTTCGTCGGGCTGTTGATGCGGGTCGCCGAGCACTGGCTCGGCACCCACACGGATCTCAAGGCCTTTCAGTGTCCACACTGTCCATATGACAGCGCCTGGTATAGGTGGGTTGCTTCTGCTGCTTCACGGTGATGGGAAAACTGTCTTGTGCAAGGCACAAGCAACTGTGTAAGGAAGCTGGCAATAGGCCTTGCTTGTCTCCTGTCTTCATTGGGAGGGTTCTGCTTTATGAAAGTGTAAAGTGTTGCTTCAGTAATGATGTGCAGCCTATTATTAAAAATGTTCCTTTGTAAGAGTCGTCAATTGTCTGGAGTGATGATGTCAGTGTAGACATTTTTTTTGTATTTTTATACACTGACAAGGATGTGCAGTGCAGAGTGGTTCAAATGATTAATTCAAATAGTTGACAGACTGATGCTACCCTGGTACAAGTAACAAAGCCTCAAGAAACCAGGACTGATTCCAAAACTCAGTTGGAAGACTAGCTTGGACCTGTTAATGTGTCTGTACTAGGAAATCATTTCTCAGCCTTTTACCAGTTGTAATTGCCATGCAGTCACAGGCCAAAGTTATTCATTTAGACCTCTTGTCAGTGAATGTCAAACGAGATGAGAATTGCTGGGCGTGTTCATCAGCGAAATACTTTTGCACCACCAGATGCGTGCGGATGCATTTCAACCGTGCCCACGATCCGAACTGGAATCTCCCCGAGACCGACATGTGGAAGGCATCTGGGGTCTTGAGCAGCGTGTCGTCGTACCTCCAGCGCCTGAAGTCCATCGTAGAGTCTCACGTGACGACCGGCTCCCCTTCCTCTCCCGACGGCAGCGGGCCGAACGCCGCCGGAAAGCGTTACTGGTGCTCCTACTGCCCCTATGCCACCGACCGGCGGGACCTGTACACTCGGCACGAGAACATCCACAAGGAGGAGAAGCCTTTCCACTGCTACGTCTGCTTCAAGCAGTTCAACCGAGCCGACCACGTCAAGAAGCATTTCCTTCGCATCCATCGGGACTTGGACTATGATACGACCAAGTATGCGAGCCTGGTTCCGGCTTTTCCCCGGCATGAAATCGATTCTGGAAGTAAAGACAAGAATGCCAGATGCGAATTTCCATTTTTAGGTCATTTGGATTATTGGTGGAAGGTCACTGCTCTTGAAATGTGATGATCTTGGCCTAGCCCTGCTGAAATAATTTGATTCATTATTTCATCAGGACTTGGCCAAGGTGTGTTGGTGTGTGGCATGTCTTGCTTATGATGTAATTGATTTCTTTGTTGTACTGGAAGGAAAATTAATTAGGATTTCATTGACTGCAATAGAAACTGAAGACATAGCTACCAAGAGCTCTTCCCAGTTTTATGCCAAAAGCAGCAACAGTGGCCTAATTCTATTTGCTACAATTTACTGTAAGTTTCACAGCTGAAGCTTTTCATTCAGCAAGCAAGAAACTGCAAGCTTACTGTATCCCCTTTAAGAGCAGGTGGCATGACTTCGATTCTGTGGAATGGGATGAAAGAAAGCTGAAGCATGCACAGCAAATGGAAGTCTTACATGTAATGATTCAAAGGCTGTTTCATGGTGCTCATAGCCCAGTAATGTTTCAAATCATTTCAGGTAGATGGTAAAAAATGAAATTGAAAAGTTGAAAAAGATTTTTTTTGCAGTAGCACAGATTTCACAAGACCTGTTCACATCTCCATCCTTGATCTGTGTAGGATCAGACGAGATCCAAACGCATTGCCACTGAGCATCGGCGTGGAGCCCGAAGACCTGAGCGCCGCCGAGGGAGGCGGATCCAACTCCTCGGGGTCCCTCGTGGTGACCCCGAAGGTCCCGGTGAAGACGTCCAAGATCCCGAGCAGCAAGATGAGGATCAAGGAGGACAAGAGCCATCGCAGCACAAAAGTTGTACCCTCCAAGATCAAGCAGGAGCCTGTGTCACAGAGTGAGCATTGGTTTCGGGCTCGATTTTCCTGTTGCGGTCTCCCCGTGTGTCAGGGTGAAGCTTTTGTCAAAATTTGCAAGATTCTTGTTTGCTGGCTGCTTCTAGCCTTTGAAAAATTTTTGCAGTGACATGCAAAATTTAGAAAACTTGTTAGATAAATAATTAATCATTTGTGCTACTTATACATTGAATTTTTGGGGACTGTGGCTAAGGAAGTGCTTAATTTGGTACTGGAAAGCTCCCTTGGAGTTGCATTTAAAAAGCCTAAAATTGTATTATTATCCTCCTGCATATTTCCAATGGCTCTTGCATTTGGGCGTAGTCACCACTCTGCTCTCCCCTTTTATTTCTGGCAATATCTCTCATGGACAGGACATTTTCAGCTTATATTCATGTCCCTACTAAACTCCTGAGTATTCACTGAAGAAATTAATGATTTTTTGGGTTCTTATAGTCAGCTCTTGTTGCATTATGTTATTGGCTTGAATGATAGACATTTTGTAGAGGTCATTGGCATCCTCTTTGGATATTGTTGTGCCATATCAGGAAATGTCTCCGCTTTGAATGTGGAATTATGCTTTGTTAGGGAGTTCTGAAGATCAATGCCTTTTTTGGGGTGTACAGGAGAAGGTAAACCCCACTACCCGTTAGCCTTTTATTTAATTTTTTTTCACCCTCAGTGCACTTTGAATCATTTTCTTCGTCATTCTTTCCAAATATTCAAGGGAAGGAAAAAAGAACATGTAAAAGACTTGGAACCAAATATGGAAATCTGGAGTTTTTGTTGCATTTTGCTTCATTTACCAGATAGACCCCTCTTATGAGTGTTTGAGCCACCCCAAAGAATCAGTTGTAACTACAGATATCTTTTTTCTGCACGTCAATCTGAATAGCACTATTGATTTAGACTGTAAAAGGAAGACTGTTTCAGTTTGTGAGCTCTGATTCAATTAGTGATTCAAATTGCTGTATCATTCATCCATAAATTTGCATCTCTTGATTTCGCTCACACAAGATTTGACTGGAAATGTCTTAACACCAAGTGAAAGAAGGTTGACAGTTTGAGACTCAGATAAATGCTAGCAAATGTGGTGAACGTGGGCTTCATCGGGGCGTCGTTTCAGGCGAGGAAGAGGCGAAGGCCGGGGACGAGGGCGGGACCAGCGGGAAGGACAAGGAAGGGACGAAGCTGTGGTGCCACATGTGCGCCTGGACGGGGACGGACTCTTGGTCCCTCAAACGCCACATCTACACCCACACGAAGCCGTTCATGTGTCCGCTGTGCCTGTACCGTGCGTCGCGGCGGGAGCGTCTCCTCGTCCACGTGGGACGCGTGCACGACAAGCGCATCTGCACCCGCTGCAACCTCCTTGCCGACTCTCAGCTCGAGATAGATATTCACATCCAGCGTGAACAGTACGGCTCCATTCCTTTTTGCGTTTTCTTTCATAATTCTTAGATGCTAGGGTGTTCATGTTACCTGTTGGCAGTGCAAAACGTAGCCTTCGTAATTTTATTTCAAACTAAACTTTTTACTTTTCGGTAGCAGGAAGCATCTTCAAAACAGACTATTAAATTGGATGCTGGAAGTACTTCTGGATAGTAATGAAAGAGCTGTATTGTGTTTAAATGGTGTGATTGTTCCTGTTCAAGTGTAATACTGAGGTTTTGGCCTGAATGTTTCCCACAAATTTGATTTTTTATGAAATAATTTGCCAGGATTTTGAAGTCTCTTACATGTACCTAATGAGAGAAACCTTTGCTACTACACTCTTATGTCAAAGTTCATTTGTTGCATAAGGTATTAAGCAATAGTATCTGTCAGCAGTCCATGGGAGAGATATCAGGTCTCTATGACTCAGACACAGATAAGCTTATTTTCATATTGTTAGATTGTGAAAAAAGTGCTCTGGGCGGGATCCCACCCTTGCATTTCTATTTAGCGTCTCAGAGGCATTGCATGTGAATATTCTAGCATGTGGTAACCTTGTCCAGTAGTAGTTGCATCTAACTTGTTCATGGATCAGCAGTTGAACCTGAGCATGCTGGAGCTCATTATGCTTGCAGAACTTTAAAAAATCTGCACAAAGGCAATGTTCTGGCAACAGGGTTCATTGTATAATTGGGATTATTTCTTCCCATATGGTAAATGTCTGCATCATGAGGGAGGGAAGATTTTTCTCTCCTACTCTCTTCATTTCCACTTCATAGACCTAACATGAAGTCCAAGTTGCCTACTCTGATCTCAAAATTGCAATGGTGGGAGTTGACAGATTTTTTGCTGATGTAAGTGGTCAAGCGGAAGGGTAAAACCACGTAGGGACATTCGCATCATTGTCGGAGCCCCTTTTGTTCTGAATGCCCCATTTATCTTGTGGAAATGCCTCTGGAGGAAGGTGGATGAAATTTTTCGGTTTCGCATCGAGACCATAAATTTCACGATAAAGGTGACATTTGTCGGACCGATAAGGAACTGCCATATATCACTCGAAGGAACACAATGATCCTGAAGTTCCCCCAGTTGTTGGCGTTTGGAACTGCGCATGAAGTCTACGAAGAAATGTATGACTGCAGATTATCCATCTGAAACCGGATGTGGATAAGATACTGCAATACTCTATTTAGTGCTTTGAGATAATTTATGTTATATATAATTATATATAATTACAGTTTGATATGCTGTTTCAAGTTAATTCTTTGTATGAAGTTTCTTAGAGGGAAGCCGCAGTGGTGACTCTGAGCACACCACAATATTTGACCTGTTAAGTGATGACAGTGCCTTAAATCCTCGTAGGCTCAAGTGTAAATGTGTCACTGCAAACTATTCTCGGTAGACTCAGTTCATGCGAAGCTCATGCAACATTGGAATAGTATCTGAAATTAAGTTTATTCAATTTTTTTACACTGCTACAAATTGAATTCTGCCTTTTTTGACAATAAATAGTGCAGTGGCAGATATCAATAGACAAGTTTGGATGTGGATCATGGCTGTTCATGGTGGAGGGAAAAGAACTTTCTTTTTTGGTTCCAACACTATGTGTCAGATAAGCAGGATAGAAAAATTTGGAAATTGTGAACTGTTGGCATTTTTGAAATGATATTTTCATGTGCATAGAGGTGACATACCTCATATGTTAGGAATGTGCTTGAATGCCATACTTAATGGCTTGAGGCTTGTCCAGTGTAATTCTATCATTATTTTGCCATCTTGGCTGAAGAGTGTTGGAATTCATCTTTAATAAATGACTGATGACTGTTTTGCAGTAAAAACTCCAAGCGGTCAACAAACCATCTGTGCCTGGAATGTGGGAAAGTCTTCCCCTCGCAGCTCGACTTCGAGATGCATGCTGTGATGGCGCACCCACGTGCAACTGCATCTGCCAAATGCGACACGTGCGACTTCTCCGCCGAGGACACGTCTCAGTTGGAGCTCCATCGTCGAGAAGTACACGGAAACAATCCAGACGGAGAGGCGCTGAGCTGCAGCTGCTCCGGTTGCGGCTGCACATTCACCGACGAAGTTTCACTGCGCAGTCACATGGATGCTGAGCACAAAGGCGAGGCGGTGGCTCCGATCCCCCTGTTCAACTGTACCCTTTGCCCCTTCTCCTGCTCCACCCAGAACCTCATGATGGAGCACATGCGAATTCATTCTGGACAGGTGTGATGCTACTCCCTTATTTTCTTTTCATTGAACCATTGCTGTTTTAGGCCTTAGTTTGGATGCATGCCACTTTTCTTATTGGTGATTACCATAATTATTAATTCATGAGTGATTTTTAATTTGCTAGATTTAAAATGCTAATAAGCTGTCATAGGAGTGCCTGTCTCATGTCTTGTGGCTATAACAACTCTTTACTTTCTTTCCTGATTAGGCACTGGAGTGTCTGGCAGAGGAGTGTACGTTCACGACCCCGTTCTCGGCTGTGCTCAAGGACCACATCACCAAGACCCACACCGGTGACATGAAATACGTCATCCGCTGCCTTCACTGCGGCCTCCGTATCTCCACCCTCGACTCCTTCCTCACCCACAACCGGACGTGCCACCACCCAGATCGCGGCGAGGACGAATTCGGTTGCCCCCTGTGCACCAAAGTCCTCCGGCTTCACTTCGGACTCCGGGATGCCCTTCCCACGTCCCTGGAATTGTACAAGCAGACGGGCACGGTATTGGAGTCGCTGTTCGGAGACGTCCCGGCCGACTCGGGTCAGATGGAGATCCGGGTCACCTTGACTCGATCGAGTCGACGGTCTCGGAAGCAGAGCACCCCGAAGAAGGTGTCAGTGGCCAATATTCAGGTTGTGCCAGACTTGAAGCCTCTTCCGATTGCGTCGGCCTTGGGTCAGAGGTCGCATCGGAGTCGGAGGAGGTTTCGATGCGGCCGGTGCGACCCGGGTCAGCGGCGACCGGTATCCTATGCCCGGCGACCCGGTCTCCTCCTGCACCGATTCTGGTTCCATGCTCCCAAGTGCAAACGTTGTGATAAGCGATTCAGGTATTGGTGTGAGTCCGGTCGGCACGAGTGTAAACGCAAGAAACCCTAGCCTCTCCCGCCCCTCCCTTTCATCTTTTTACCTCTATCCGGTGCAAACATTCCAGTCCCTCGTCCATTGAGGTATCCACACATCTCGCACAGTCGAGCTCCAGTGGAATTTCCCCCTAAAGGTTTTTTTTTTTTTTGCAAGAGTATGGTGGGAAATTTGAAATCACGAGTGCCTTGTCGATTTTTTTTTTGTCCTCCCGAGTGAACGATCTGCTGAGTTTGCAAATTCTGCAAATGCTGAAACCGGTGTATGGTCTGAGAGTGAGGAAAGTTTTCCTTTCCTATTTTATCCCCGATGTTGATTGATGTGATCGATGGAAAGAGGATTAAGCTTGGAGAGGCATTCACGACAAGAGAGTACAAATCTACCCGAGTGGACTCGAATCCCGGTTTTCATCCACGCGACTGGTGAACAGAGTGTGCATGTTGTTGAGAGTGCAAATTTGCCAATTTTTTTGGTTGTGCTGTGCAACTGCTTTATCTCCCTTTCCCCTTTCCCGGTTTTCAACTGTGACTACAGGAAGATTTCTAGTGTCTTTTAGACCCGTGTGCAACGGCAATCGATTCCCCCCCAACCGGTGATTCTCAAATTAGATGAAGTTCTGCAAAAAAAAACATTTCAGTTACTGTTTATGCAAATGTGTGCATGTGAGAGGAGGATTTTATGCTAGGCTCAGGGATCCCAATGCCCAGACAAGAACTGTCTTCCGTGTGTTTCCTTCATGGAGCCAGTAAAAAGATTTTTTTTTCCAATTTTTAAGTGCAAGAAATTTTATGTTAGCCAAATCCAGTCTTTGGATTAGTTTTAATCCCTGTATTCAGTTAAACCATGGCATCACATTGTGATACAGTCCCCCGCACGTTTGACCACTCGCATATACCCAACCAAACCTAAGTTATGTTTCTATTCTGGATAGGGAGAAGCCATATATGTTTGAGCAACCATTTCGGACCATGTTCACCTTGCCCTTCCTGTTTCTTCAAGCCTTTTTTTCTCAACTTGTAATAAATGGAAGCTTATCCAACTTCTTGACACGGTGTGTGATTTGGCGATGAAAAACGAATCCATATATCCAGAAATTGTCACATATTTGAAAATCGGCTTATTGTTGGATTTGGGTCGCCTGCTCCCCATTATGCGGCTCTCATCCTGCCGGATCATCCTCTGAACGTAATCTCATTTGTAATCTGGTCTAATCTCAGTTGTAACCAATAACAAAAGTTTTGCTCTCTGCGCCGTCCTCTATTGCAATTGGTGCACGCCAGGATTTTTATTGCAGTTTTTTATTTTTTATTTTAAAATGTAATATAATTAAAATATATTTCTCCATGTTGATGAATGGCAAACAGCGTCACTACTCATCCTTCTGGTGCAGAATAAATGCCCAAATTAGCAGCATTGTTGATTGTTGAGAAGTTCGCTATAGCAATTATTCTGTTCAAAAGCCAATTACAACGACACTTTATTTATTTATCATTTAACATTTATCATTCTAGAAAAATTCACAGGCGGTCAAGTAAATGGGAAGTCATTTTTTACCATTTTGCCAAAAAAAAAAATCTAACAGAATTGTCAACTAAAAACCGTAACTCGGGTCGAGATCATCCTATCGACGCCCAGTTCTTAGGATAAAGAAAATAGGGCTTAATCGCTGAAGAGAAAAGGCCAAGAAAGAATGTCGCATCCACGCAAAACAAGGATTTGCCTCGATCATCCCTCGCGTCGAATCAACGTTGACTCGATACCGATATGATTTAGAGGATTGCCTGCGTTAACCAACATGGAGTTGGTATAGTAATTTCACGCTTCAGGCTTAATTTATCATAAACTAACTTTCGAATTCATGGAACCGGAAAGACAAAATTTACGAAGCGCTATTTATAAATTCCACGGGAATAGCGTATTCACCCAAGTACGTCCCGCAAAGAAATCCCTATTCCCAAGATAAGAGCTCCCCGCTGAGAGCCTTTCCCTACGAAGGATTCGTTCCGATTCACATAAACATTCAGTCCCTCCTCTACCAACACCACGGAAGGCGAGCCTCCCAAAGGAACGGCAATCGGAAGACTGCTCGAGAACCCACATCCCATCGCCTTCTTATGCCCAGCTCGCCCGCCTGGTGGCAGACGGCTCGACCGTCCCTCTCCCCTTCTGCCGCGAACGCGCATCCCCTCTTGCGCATCTGCCCTCCACTTCCATCTGCATCTCGAAAAAAGTTCCCGCCTTCCTTATTCCCACCGGAATCCGTAGAGATCGTAACGAAAAGAGGAAAAGTTTCTCCAGCTGGATTCAGATGAAGTCTCGCGTTTGTCCTGATGTTGACACGACTCATAATTCTTGCTAAAAGTAAATTACAATAAAAGCAAATTTCAAATTTTCTTAAAATTACTATGTAGCTTAACTGAAATATGAGTCAATTGAAGCTCATCTTTTATGCATTCAACTCGAAGCAGGTGGTTTGAAACCTCCATCTGCATTTCAGACATGCAGTGCGTTGGAAGGAATGCTTTATTCTGATTAATATTCTATATCTTATTAATATATATCTTTATTCTGTAAATGAGTCCATTATGAAAGCCATTCTTCATCTTGATTCCGGTTCCTTCGAACCTCGCTTTGCGAAACGCAACGATCATGAGTGCGGTGGGTTCATTAGTTTAATTAATTGGATATTTACGTCGCGTTTCGTGTTTGGAGTCGGCGGAAGCGAATCGGAATCGTAACGGTTGGCATTTTCCGTGGTCTGAGGATGCAAATGGGAGTGCATGGAAGTGGAGGTCGGAGGGCAGATGATTATCTGCAGCGGAAGGGGAGAGGGGAGGTCGAGCCCTCCGCCTCCGGGCAGGCGGGCAGGGTATAAGAAGGCGTTGGGATGAGGATAGCAGTCTGCCTTCTCTCTTCGTCTGGAGGTCTTCGTCGGGAGTTCTCCGTGCTCGTTGGTTGTCACTGTTGATTTGTGTGTGGTGTTGGGTTTCAAAGGCTTGTATCACGATGCAATATGCCTTTCAGTTTTAGCCCGTTTTGGCGGGCGTCAGCGTGCCAGAGTTTGTTCAACTGAGCGGTCCATCCCGGCTGAAGACTCGGAGTTTGAAACCAAATTCTTTTCCTTTCGGGGAAAATTGTAGATTAATACTTAAAAATCGCCTTTCCAGGTCAAGATGCCACCAATTCCATGCAACTCTAGCAAGAACTCTGATTTCCTCGCTACTTAGTAGTCGCGGCACGATCCTCATTAGTCAGTGAATTGCCTTCACAAGTCGTAAATCTTTCAAGGGCATATTACAAGTTATTTTTTTTTTTCCGTGTTCGACTCACCTTCCATTCGATATCGGGAGGAAATCTAATCCCAAGGTTATCTTAATTCCTCCCGTCCCAGGACAAACCAGTTACTTCCCCTGCCGATGCTGGAAAAAATCGTCACGTTTTTCTCTGGAAGCGTGAGGAAGGCATCGATTAAGCGACGGAGCGCGGGACTCTGGCATCCCTGCCCTCGCATCCCTGTCGGCCGCGAAGAGCCTAAAAAACGGGGGAAGGAGGAAGCAGTCGCGTCTCGGCGCTCTCGTCGTGCGTGTGCCATCCCGCCATGGCGAATCTCTCGCTGGAAAGTGTGAATGCGTGTCTGAGAGCCATGGAGTATGCCGTGAAGGGGCCGGTGGCCGTGAGGGCGGGCGAGATCGAGAAGGAAATGCAGCAGGTATCTGCTCGTTATTCATTAACAATAATTAGTGGCCTTTTTGGCCTGATCCGTTTGGAGGAAACGTAGGACTAAATTTACGGAATTTATTAATGGGTAATTAATTAGTGGGTAATTATTGGGGTCGGTCTGTGCATGCAGGGTGTTCCGAAATGTCTGACCCACTAAATTAAAGATGGAGGAAAGATTAGCAGGGACATTTATTGATTTTTGCTTAAATCCAAAAGCGGTAGGAAGTACTTTATCAGTACTTTATATTCCGTCAGGAACCTCTTCATCGGCGACAGTTCTCGCGTTCCAGGTGTTGAGGTCCTTGGTAACCAGAGTTACCAAGGACCTCGACACAGGTCTGTGCCCTGGTTTCGATGGTGCGAGGCCAGCATGGGGCTCCATGGCCTTTTCTTGGTCGGATTTGTATGTTGGATTATTTGCCTTGCTTTTTTGGGCGGGTGGGTCGGAACACCCTGTACTGCCAAAAAAAAAAAGGTGAGAACCGCACGAACGACAGGACTTGGAAAATATAGAATCGGCAGGTTTGATTATTGCAGGGGGTCGTGAAACCCTTCGCAGAGGTGACAAGGGCGAACAATGGGGATTCGCATGCAATGGGACAGAAGCCCATCACCTTCCTCAGACAGGTGAGGCACCTTTTATTTATTTTTATTTCTTTATATATATATATTTTTTGTACATATTTTAGCCTTTACCTTCGATGCGAAGGTAAAGGCTAAAAATGTTACTTCTGAAGAGAAACGTAACGAGTTTTTCGCAATACGTCGATCTCATGGCCTAAAGAAAATTGCACCATCAGTCGACATTGTCAAATGTCATTACGACTTGCGAATAATTGTCGGGGCAAAAGTTCCCGATAGGAACGAGCCGGTCGCCACGGTTGCCTGCCAGTTTGCGTTGCATTGTCTGCATTTTCGGAGACGCGAAATTTAAATATTCACGAGACCCACTCGTCCTTTACAAATGATTCAGACGCGCGAACTGACGCCCATTATGCCAGCCCTGTGATTTACCCATTGTTTCTCAGCTGATAGTTTTCAAATGGACATGGGCTGTCAATAAAAAAAAAAAAACTTCAATAACGGTGCAGCAATGGATTTGGGACACTTTCATAATGAGAAAGGATACAAATGTGAAATTAAGGACCCGATGGTGTCGAGTGGACGAAAAGCACTCAAAACCAATTTCATTCAGCGCATTCTTGGTCTGGAATTGGTGACCCAAACGGGTCACCCACCTTCTAGGTAGGCGCTTCTAGGTCCGTCAGCCGACTTCTAGCCTTTCTCTGCCTTTCGGAAGTGCAGTCAACTCTCGATATACCTCTCGCTTATCTTTCCTGAGGACGGGCCTTCCCCATGGGCCTGCCAACCGCGCTAGCCGCCATCCGCTAACGTCTTTACTTGCGCAGACGGGTCTTGCGTATTGCTCGATGTTACACCAAGCAGCATGCTTTACCAGCCGCTATCATTATACCGTGTGCTAAGTGTAATGCTACTTGTTGGTCCTTTCGGTCGCATTAGACATTATTAGATTGCGAGGAATGATTAGGCGTTAGGATCACCAGAGATTAGATTAGCGTACAGGGTAGCATACTCCGGACCCAATACATGTCTCTTTTGGGGAATGAAAATGGTTTATGTAGATTATACACGGGTCTTCTCCAGACGACAGTTCAAGCTTATTCACCATCCAGTATTCTGAGGCAAGTACCATTAGCAGCGTGGATTAATTAAAGCTAAATTTTGTGCATATTTTTTATATAATCGAGAAACAACAATATTCTCAATTTTAAAACGATGCGTTTCGATTTAGCACTACCCTCGATACAGCGCCAAAATCGGCTGGGACCAACAGATTTTCGAATGAAACTTGGCAGGTGAGAAAAATGTCTCATGAATGACCATACTAATGGCTTCAGCCTTTGGAATCGGATCAACCAGCAAACTTGGCGAGCGAATACAAAACGTGAAAGAGTTGTTCAACCTTGCACGGCATGAATTTTGATGTTCTTTGTAGGATAAAGTGGAATCTCTTAAATAAAACCGGCTCGGCGTCGAAAACCCTGCGGAGCTCGCTGCACCTAAAGGTCATTTTTAAAGGACATAAAGGTCATTTATTGGTGTCTCAAGATCTCATTATCTCCATTCCTTCTCGCCCACATAAAGTGACATTTCTTCGCAACTTCTCCCACCCCCATCTTTCTAAAGCATAGGGATAATACGGCTTTTTACCCATCGTTGGAAATGAAACATTACGAAATGCACCAGAAAGAAGTGAATCGCCTCTCGTATCTGGTGGTCATCCTTAACCCTGATAAGCCCGAAGAGTGTCAAAAAGTGCAAACTTTGCTTATCTGGAGTGTCACCATCGATAGCACCATTATCACGAGTGAAACCAAACACCTAGACATTTATGTGAGCCGCACTCGAACGCTAAAAACTTTATAAAAAACTTTATACTAAAAAAAAGCGATGCGGTCGCTCCTTTTTGCGTTGAATCTCTTGAGTTGAAGTGACCAGGGGATTCTGTCTCTGTGGATTTCTGCGTCGTTCTGTTTGCTCTCCCGGTCTGTTGTGGCGGCCTTTTCGGAAGGATCTTCGGGAGAGTAGCACGCGTTCCTGGACGAAATTTGGAGACTGCACAAAATAAGTATTTTGGAAATATACAATGATGCCGGAAAAAAAAAATTCTATCTTGTCTTCCTATACATAAACTAGCCGCTCAACACTTTCGCGATATTAGTTTCTCGCAAATATATGGATCACAAACAAGGAAGATGACCGCGCTTCCAAAAATTCGGCTCCTCAAGCCTTGTAAAAAAAAAAAATTTTAATGTAATATTTGGGGTCGCGGTGGGGGGACATTTTTTTCCCGTCAGGATCTCACATGCGCCGTCGTTACTGAGAATTGAATTGAGTATGGTTTTGGGTGTCGTGGCACCACCCACCTCGAGTCTCATCAAATCGCCTGTCCGCGCGAGTCTCTCCGTCGGAGCTCAAACCCGTCGGTTAGGCAGTGTCCATGAACTCGGTTCGTGCAGACTTGAAGACGGACTTCTGCATTGTGCAGCACCAAAAACAGCTAAGGAGTTGTCATCTGGCTGGTCGAGGTAGCTAGGGAGCATGAAGATATTTCCGTAAGTATTATTTGACCTTGAAATACAAGTTATTCCTACAATATAGGTGGTGTCCCTCTGCGTTACTCCATCCCTCTTGGACGATCCCAAGTTCCCCGAGGACGCGAAGGAGCGGGCGAGACGTCTCCTCGCGGGCTGCAAGGGGCACAGCATCGGATCCTACACCGACAGCGTCGGGATCGAGGTCATCCGACAGGATGTAGCCAAGTACATCCACGAGAGGGACGGGGGAGTCCCCAGCAACCCCGACGACATCCTCCTGTGTGCAGGAGCAGCAGAAGGAATCCGAGCGTGCATGAAGCTCCTGAATCAGGCGATAGACGGGAAGAAGCCGGGGGTCATGATATCCGTCCCCCAGTATCCGCTCTACACAGCTTCCATCGCTGAGTTCGACATGTTCCCTGTGAGTTCGTATCTCCAGCATTTTTATGGTTTCAAGGTCTTTGAGAATGGTATTTTTTGAGGGTGTGACATGTTCTAATCGTTGATCTGAAAACTTACATTTTAATTATCGCCATAAAATGACAATTGACGTCTCTTCACATCTGACTTGATTTGAGATCACTACTCGGCAGTGGTTGCGCTAACTTTCGTAAAATTTGGATGCAATGAAGCATGATGAAATTTAGCCAAGTTTCACAAAAAGTTCAATTCCCGCAGCCTTAGGACTGCCTCGGACATTTTCTCTTTGACAAACATCCCTAGGGCATCTTCAAATTTGCAAATGACAAAACTTCTGCAAATTACAACTGCCAGATGCTGAGCAGGGATTTATCTTATTTGCATTTGAGCAGAAATCAAGAAAAACTCTTCCATCCCTACGGGAAAGCCAGGGATACATGTTGGCCCACTCCTTTTTCAATTTTTTATTTATTTAAATCTTTTATCCTTGTGATTCATGGTTCAGGGGTGGCCCATTTGCATCATCGCCCACGTCCATCTCTTCGGTTTGAGTAGGTCAAGGCCTTTGGCCTTGATTTGGCCTTCTCTGTGCACATTAAGTGGAACGAAGACACCTTCGTTTAGACTTTAGACCTACGCTGCTGATAACTTTCTTTATGTGGCACTAGGCCACTTTGTTCAGGAACACCTGAAGCGAGGAAATGAGAATGAGGAATACTTGCAGAGTACGTCCAATGCCTCTCAACAGATCGCTGCTTATGGAAATTTCTAATTAAAAAAAAAAGCCAGTTACAGTTTGATTAGAATGTGGTATAAGCAGTTCCGAGAAATTGGATGTGCTACACAAGAAAGGGGGCCTGTAGCCACCACGGTCATCAGAATTGACCCCTCTGGACTTTTTGTTGTTCGAGTATGCAAAAGACATTGTGTGTTGGAAGAAAGTATCAAGTTTGAATGTTCTCGGCCAAAAATGCTTGAAAATATTGTCTGGACGAGTGCAGATCTACAAACGGTGGCCACATTTTTAATTTTCTAAATTATTAAACAAAAAACTTTTGTTCGATAGTGTCTGCTGCAAACCAGATCCATTTGTTCCCAATAGCTTTCGAGACATAGATTTTAGAAATCCCTTCAACAATTTATGCACAACGCTTCCTGTCTCCCCACCAGGTGAATTACTACCTAGACGAGTCACAAAACTGGGGTCTCGACATGAAGGAGCTGAAGAGGGCCATAGACGAGTCCCGAGAGCTCTGCAACCCCCGTGCCTTGGTCGTCATCAATCCCGGCAATCCCACGGGCAAGGATGCGCCGATGCCTTGAATCTGAAACTCTAGTTGAGATGGAATCTCAAATCTCGGTTTGTGATTGCAGGGCAGGTGTTGACCAGAGAGAACATCCAAGACATAATCAAGTTTGCATACCAAGAGAAGCTGATCGTGTTTGCAGATGAGGTAAGCTTCCAATTTCTTTTCCCTTTTTGGGCGATTCGTCTGATGATATCTCTCCATTCGTCTGCAGGTGTATCAACACAATGTTTATGCGGCTGGGAGTCGATTCCATTCGTTCAAGAAGACGATGATTGAAATGGGTCATCCGTACGACAAGATGGAGCTCTTCTCCTTCATGTCCGCCTCAAAGGTGCTCTGTCGTTTCTCTTGTAGGCGACTCTGGCGTGAATTAACGCTCATCACAATCGGACCACCAGCGTGTTCGGCTAGGACACGAAGCATAAAATCTCCAACAATAATTTCAAGGGTTCGCTTCCGCGTCTTTTCCGGGGCTTCTTCCCACTATCCTTCAGACCGACACCCTTCATTTCGTTATGTCGGACAAAGCATGAGCATTATTTTTTAGTTAATGCAACCTCATTATAAAATAGTACCTCTCCAGTGTGCCACATCATCATGCTGATATTAACTGATGTTTAAAAACTTTTGAATGCAGGGTTACATGGGAGAATGTGGATTCCGAGGGGGCTACGGGGAGATCGTCAACATGGACCCTGATGTGAAGAAGATACTATTGAAAAGTCTCTCAGCCAAGAGCTGCCCAACTGTTCTTGGACAGGTGAGGACAAGTAGTAGGATCCACCCTTAAAAATTGCTGTCTTCAATATTGCTCACGTATTCCGTTAATCAAGATCCCAAATCATGGATGGTACCTGTTATAAGAAAACCTTCTTGTGAATGCCCTTTTGCCCATTGGGAGTGATATGCCACATTGCATATATATCACTGTAAGAGTTCCATTTTTAAATGCTTCGTCAATAAGTAACTTCGCATTTTTGGCTGTTATTTTCTGGAAGCATTGGAAGTTGTGATGTTGACATTGAGAAAGAAAAAAAGAAACCATCGCCATCATTGGATTGACTAGATGCAATGCATGGGAGGATCTCATTCCTTTTCATGGGTTGTTTCCTCTGTTATTGGCAGATCGCAATGGATGTGGTGGTGAATCCCCCCAGGCAGGGAGAGCCAAGTTACGAGTCTTTCGAGAAGGAGAAGGCAGCAGTGCTGGGATCCCTGGCCGAGCGAGCCAAGATGATTGCCGACACGTTCAACTCCATGCCAGGCTTCTCGTGCAACCCAGTCCAAGGTGCGATGTACGCATTCCCACGCCTTGAGCTTCCTGCCAAGGCCATACAGGCGGCCGAGAGGGCAGGGCAGCAACCCGACTTCTTCTACTGCATGTCACTCCTTGAGGAGACTGGGATCTGCATCATCCCAGGCTCTGGATTTGGACAGGTTCCAGGAACCTATCACTTCAGGTATGGTAATTGATACAGGGTCTTTCCTAAGTTGCGCAACCCCATATGTAAACAAGTACTGTTGCAATGTTTCTGTTGGAATATATACACAGAATCTCTTGCATTACGTATTGTCGGTCCCGTGTTTTTCGCAGAAACTGTGAATGATGAACGTTATCAGCATGCCATTCAGCAATATATCGCCATGTTAGGAATTCGCGAGCGTTACTCGTGCTCGACATGACGCTCATAATCATTAGCGACCTTAGATCCAGACCTCGTTATTTTCTGTTAGGATACCTTAAGGAAAGTGTACGCAGACACAGACTTGGAAACGTTGAGGCAAAAGCAGGCCCTTGCCGGCGATCTGACACTTACATATTATTATATATTGATCGATTTATTGATATTATGTTGAACGCGAAGATGCGCAAGCGTGTCGTAATGTGCTTGCAGGAACACGATGGTCACTTCCAACAATTGCTATTTCACCTTTTTTCATAGGTAAGATCCGTTCCTTCAATATTAAGCCAGTTTGGATTATTTCAACTCTATTTAAGTTACTCAAAAAATATATGATGGGTTGCGTGACTTATTTCTGCCCCCAAACAATGTCTAATCCATCCCCGAAGACGAGGGAGCATTCCTTTTTTATTTATTCAGGAGTTCAGAAGTACTTCTGACAGTTATTATTATTAATTACTTATTAGGCTTATTTCCTTATTAGGTACCAGTCACTAAAGACACGATGGTATAGAAAAAAAAAACCAAAAATGTTTTCCCTCTCGAGGATTAAAAGATTCTTATTGTCTCAGTCTGAATCCATTTGCTTTTCAGTAATTAAATGCTTTCTTGAAAATGAAATGGGAAATGAAATAAACTTTGCTTTATACTAGTTATCGGCAAATCTGTTATTGAAAAAAATTAATTTAATCGATCTACTTCTTTTGTCTTCTAAAATTTGCATAGCTAATTATGAATTAGCAAGCTTACTAACCCAGCTTTATTTAGTTATTTTTTTATATTTCAGAACAACGATCTTGCCGCAGCCAGAGAAGCTGAAGGGCATGTTGAAAAAGATTCGAGACTTCCATGCCATGTTCCTGGAACGCTACAAGTGAATCTCTTTGCTGTTTTGTGTTTATTTGCATGCCAATTTTTTCTCCGGCGTTGTAATGACGGAATCTCAATTGTAATCGTTTATTTTTATTATCGTGGAATGCATTGATTTGAATCTCTCAATGAATTGAGATAATGTCGTCTGTCTAGTCACGTGATGGAATCCATTAATTTCATGAATACTGATGTGCATTTGTTGCATCAGTGTTGCATGACGTTCAGGTTTTTTTTTTTTTTTTTTTTTTTTCTCCTTTCAGATCCTGAAACTCGCGTCGCTGTTTCGATCCCTAAATGGAATGAGGCCGTCTTTTGTGCGGTAAATTCTCAGACAGCAAAAACAGACTGCTTTCACTGTTTCTGGTCATTTATCGGTGCCGAATTGATTCGACCCTACGGCATTTCCACCGAGCAAAGTCGTATTTCCACGGCTGGGCAAAACGAGAACAATGAATACATATCGAGGCTGACGCGACACCTATAGATATTTTTTTTCGTATTTCATCATAAAAAAGGGTGCAAAAAAGTTTCCAAAAAATTTGGTAAATTTGGTAAGAATCCAGCGGAATTACTTGCTCACTCGTACGCCGTATCCAACTTTCTGGCATGCCACTCGATTGCCATTGATTGCGATTGATATTCAATAGACTTGGCACCCTCTTCCCGCGGCTTTATTCCATGTAGAGACGAATGTCCTTCCTACCATGCCACCTTGAAGGAGAAGGTATGTGTGTCGTGGAATAAAAAAAAAAGACTAACTTTTAATTATTATTAAATATATAAATTATTGTGCAAGGGTGTGGGGGGGGGGGTTGCAATCATTAATAAGTCTGATTCACCTCGACCAAGGCGAAACTCGACGATCGCAGGAAGTCTCTGGGAGTTTTAGGCGTGGGCACTTCTTGCAAGATTTCACCTCTTGCACAAAGCTGCTGACTCAACGTTGCCAAAGCGTTCGACTTTTCTTGCTGCAAAGACATTTTTGAAAAGATTGGACCAAAACGATATAAATTATGAAGCGACGGTAATGTACGAGGGGTGTTCGAAAAGTAATAGGAATTTTGAATTTTTTTCCCAATCAACATATTTATTCATCATTATTTACATTTAACTTTTCAATATAATCACCCTGGAGTGCAATACACTTTTTCCAACGAGAGACTAACTTCCTAAGGCCATCATTAAGGAATTCCTTTGGTGTGCTTTTAGTCCAACGTTCTACCGCATCCTTGACCTCTTGTAGAGAAGAAAAACGCTTGCCCCGAAGTGGTTTCTTCAGTTCCGGGAATAGGTGGTAATCACTTGGAGCCAAATCAGGAGAGTAGGGTGGGTGAGGCAGCAACTCCCATCGCAGATCGGCTATAGCATCAATAGTTCGTCTTGCAGTATGGGGCCTGGCATTGTCTTGCTGCAGTAATGGTCGTGCGTGGAGCTTTCCTGGGCGTTTTTTGATCAGTTGGGTGCGCAAGGGGCCCTTCAGCAAACCAGAATAGTATTCGGCGTTTATCGTTTGACCTCTCTGAAGATAGTCTATGAGGATAATGCCTTGACAATCCCAAAAAACGGTCATCATGACCTTGCCAACGGACGGATTTGATCGAGCCTTTATTGGAGGGCCTTCATCAGGGCGCCGCCACTCCATCGATTGGGATTTGGTCTCCGGATTAAAGTATGGCACCCAGGTCTCATCTACAGTAATAATCCGAAGCCAAAAGTTCTCACCGTACCTCTTCGCCAAGTCCACAAGCTGACCACATGTCACTGTACGGTTGAGCTTCTGGTCTGGCCCCAACAGCCGAGGTACCCATCGCGCTGAAACTTTGCTCATGCCCAAATGGTTGTGCAGAATCGAGTGAACAGAGTCGAAACTGATGCATAGGGCCCTGGCAATCTCTCGCACGGTCACTCGCCTGTCCTCCATCACAAGCTCTTCCACGGCTGCCACATTTTCTTCATTAACTGAAGTGGAGGGCCTTCCAGTCCGATGGTCATCATCAAGGCTTTGCCGACCACTCTTGAAGCGGTTAATCCAAAAATAAACTGTGCTTTTTGAGTCAGCAGCATCTCCGAAAACACACTGCAAGCGCTTGACAATATCAACAGTTTTGACTCCTTCCTTCCACAAAAAGAACATTATTGACCTTTGATTTTTCACCGCGTCTTCCATAATAGAAAAATAGCAAGGGACAGCACGGCCTATAACTCGAGAATGGACTGAGTGTATTGAATGGCATTGACAGGTCCTAATGCTTACATGTTGGCCTACGTATGGGCTGACTCTTGTTACCTTAGGTCTAATCGTTCTTGTTTAATAAATAAATTCCTATTGCTTTTCGAACACCCCTCGTATTACTCGGTATTATTCGGTCAAGCAAATCCAGCAAAGCAATTCATGCCTGAATTTTTTTTACTGCTCAAGAAACTGCCCCATTCTGACGGCAGCCATATCGATGAAAAATAAGGGAATTTCCTTCATGAATGCAGGGTTTGCTTTAGGTATCAAATTCGCATTCAATTCCTCCCCTACTAAGAGTCCCACCAGCGTTGAAGTAAACATGAATCGCGCATGAGGGAAACACCTTGACGAAGGCAGAACAAAATGAAGAATCCAACAAACACGATGAACTCACCAGACGACTGAAGAACAGACCCAGACGAAGACAGAAGGAGGACTGCTTGGGAATCGTCATCCCATCGCCGTCTTATACCCTTCGCTTGCCCGGAGGCGGAGGGCTCGACCTCCCCTCCCCCTCCTCCTGGCGCAGATACGCATCAGACGGAAGCGGAAGTTGGGGGTGGGAGGGGAGGTCGAGCCCTCCGCTTCCGGGCAAGCGGGCAGGGTATAAGACGGCGATGGGATGACGATTCCCAAGCAGTCCTCCTTCTGTCTTCGTCTGGATTTGTTCTTCAGTGTCGTCTGGTGAGTTCATCGTGTTTGTTGGATTGTTCATTATGTTCGGTTATTTTGGGTAACGATACGCCTTAAGGCACTCTTTTTTCATGAATCCGATCATTCCTGCCCGAATCATTAAGCAGTCGTCATAATTCGCGATTCACTTTCGACGCTGGTTGTGCAATTCCTCTCGTTTGGCTTGTCAGGGATGGCTCTCTCAAGCAGTCCAGTTCCCCATGCTCTCCAGAGATGGCGTTGGTTATTCGGCCGAGATTCCCGTTCCCTCCAGAGATGGCACTGCTGACGACCCCCAGTTTCCCGTGACTCTCACGATCGGTAATTTTCAGGTTGTAGCTCGTAAGTCTTATCTACTGATAAAACGAAGACGGTTCATTCATGGTGGAAATTTTGTAGTTTACGACTACGAGTCTGAGATAACTCAGATTACATGAATGGAGTGTGTAGTACACGTGCGACAATGTAAGCCATTGTCGCACGTGTCATTGTCGCACAGCGCGAAATATGTTCAGTCCTGAACATAACGGTGAAAGTTTCAAAGACACTGCCTCATGTTAAGGACGAACTTTTTACACCTAAAGGTGCCTTTCCTGATAAATAAAAGGGAGTGAGGGGAGGAAGGGACGTATTTATCTGTATTTTATACAGATAAATGATCGTTTTTTTTATGAATATGCAATACTGCAATCGTGCGGACTCTCTCGCAAGTGGACGCCATAGCAGACGACGCCATAGCAGACGACGCCATAGCAGACGACGCCATGGCAGACGATAACACGTCGAGTTGGCCCAATGCGAACTGGTGTATCTCCACCCGGCCACTAGATGGCGGCGGAGATTTCGGTTTTCGCACGGTACACAAAAGTTCCCTTCCCTCTTTCCCAGGAATCGTCCCTCGCAGGAGTGTTTAGTGCCTCTCCACGTGTCTCGCCTATCCTCATTATAGGAGTCAATAAACGCGACCACTTCATCTGATATTTAATAATAATAATTCTTATTTTTATTTGTCACATATTCAAGACAGATTCAAGGAGCCCAGGCCATTCATATTCCAAAGAGAAACTTTTTGTAACGTAAGGTTACATAATGCATGTAAACGAAGAAAAAGTTCGAACGGTCGCGAATTTTATTTCGCTAATCCCGTTTATCATCCTAATAGTGTGATGAGGAAATGAAGGAGTGAATTCGTGGATGTTTCAGAGAACCATACGGAACAGTCCTTCCTCCAAGTACTTATACTCAAGTACATACCAGTACATCGTCAGACGAACATCTGTCTCCTGCCTATAAAGGGTCACGTAAACACGCGCATGACAGGAGGTTGGACGTGATGCAGGCATCCGTGCTGGTAATGAATTCATAATGTACGAAATGATGGCCAGTATAGAGCGAGAATCAGATAATGTGGGTTAAATGTTGCCATCCTACTTGCTGCCAACGTTGGCCCCACTTTGGCCCAACTGTCAACGTGGGGCCAACGTGGGCCACACGGAAAATGTTATGCAGGGTCATTTTCATTTCATTTCCATCTTTTTGTTTGAGGATGCAGTTCTCCGGATGAACAAAAAACAATGTCCATTGAGAATGGGGCAAAAACTTGGATCTCGGCGGTATTTCTAGTGAGACGCGGCGGGATAATCCTTAGAAAAAAATCCCTTTAGACCAGTGGCCCGCGAGGTGCTTCCAACTGGCCCGCGGGCCAGAAGTGGCACCGCGAGGCGCTAAGTAAAATAGGCGCAAAAATATTCTGGCTGTATTGCAACTGGAGGGGCCACATCTAAATGACCTGGGCTAAGCCGAGCCAAAGCAGCGATTCTTATCGTCTCGCGGGGGAGGTGGGGAAGTTATTAATCCTGCCCTGGAACTTTCTTTATTTTGTTTTGTTTCATAATCTGCTTACAATAAAGTGAACCCTTTCTCGACCAAGGCCCTAACGAGCCGGCTGGAATTAGCGTCGAGCTCTATCTTTTGTGGCTCCTCCAGTTGCGGAACAGCCAAAGCAACTTCATGCGCAGGTGCACATGGCTTCTTAAATTCTCAGTTGTTCCAACTTGAGGGGTTTATCAGTACGTTCCGTGAACAAAAATGAGTTTCAGCAAGCCAAGTTCGAGAAAACGCAAAGGTGATGACAGTGTGGAGTGTCGGGAATTTAATTCAGAGTGGGAAGACAAGTACATGCTCACTGTCGGAAAAGGAGGAAAGCCAGTGTGCCTGGTGTGTGGTTTCTCTGTGTCCGTGTTGAAAAAAAAAAAAAATCCAACTTGGAACGGCACCACAACTCGAATCGCACAGGCCCGGATGCGCGGTATCCCACCGGCTCTCGGAAGGACTATATCGCTGGGGAAAAAGGTTCATTGGAAACTCAACAATCCCTATTTTGTCAAGAGACATGAAGAAAAGAAAGACATGGCTGTAGCTTCCTATGAGATAGCTCTCTTATTAGCAAGGAAGAAGAAGCCATTTTCTGATGCTGAAGAAATTGTAAGCCCTGAAATAGCAGCCAGACTGTTGGGCGACAAACAAGTTGAGTCCAAATTCTTTCTCGCAATACTATCACGAGACGGATGGATGAACTGGCAAAGAATGTGACTGATTAAGTGAATTTTCTTGCCTCCACTTGCAAATTTTCTTCCTTGGCCATGGATGAATCAAATGACATTTGTGACACGTCGCAGGTAACCATATTTATTCGAGCGGTCAATGATAATTTTGACGCGATCGAAGAGCTGCTGGGGATTGAATCCATGCACGGAACTGCGAAGGGTGCAGACTTGTTTGGACTGGGCTAAGCTGGACAGCTTGTGCACCGATGGCGCGCCTGCTTTGACAGGTAAGCATCCGGGGTGTGACGATCCACTTCAGTTGCAAATAAAAGTAATATATTCTAAGCTTACATGCTTTTCCTCTCCACCACATTTGCTCTGCTGCCTTCACGCGATCCTCCTCTCATCTGCCTTCTTTCCTCCCTGGAGCTGAGAACTTTTGCTTGACAGTGAGTGGCTCAATGACTTAGCTTTTCTGACCGATATTACCGGTCACTTGAACACTTTGAATCTGAAACTGCAGGGGAGTAACAAACTTTTCACAAATCTTGCCAATGATGTTGCCTCTTTCAAACTGAAGCTGAAGCTTTTGGTGTCTCAGATGGCTCAGAGAAAGCTGGAGAACCTCGAACACTTAAAAGAGAGGGAGACAGAAACCGGAGTTGACACGGACAAGTACAAGAAGATACTGGAGACCCTGCAAGAGATATTTCAGTCCCGATTTCAAGACATCAAAGCAGAAGACAAAGTGACGCTATTTACAAACCTGTTTATCTTCTCTGACGGGAAGATAGAGTTGGTGGAAGAAAAGTTGCAGCTAGAAATCATAGACCTTAAGTGCAACTCCGTGCTCAAGAGCAGGTTCAACGAAATGCCTGGCATCCCAACTGCAGAACAAATTATATCTTTTTGGAAAATACTGCCACTGAATGATTTTCCGAACTTACGTGATTTTACTCAGCGATACATCTGCCGCTTTGGGAGTACCTACCGATGTGAACAAGCATTCTCGGCGATGAAAATTATCAAGAGCAAACACCGTTTGCGCCTTACGGACATGAACCGAGCTGGCCTGATGCAACTGGCCACAACTTACCTGCAACCAGACATCGACAAATTGGCGTCGGACATGCAAGTGCAGAAGTCACATTAAAACAGATAGGCTTGAGCTGCAATAAATACCCACGAGTTTCCATAAAATATTCTCCTACAGTATTAGCGACTGCATGTGGCCCTCGTTCGCGCCTTACGGACATGAACCTAGCTGGCCTGATGCGACTGGCCACAACTAACCTGCAACCAGACATCGACAAATTGGCGTCGGACATGCAAGTGCAGAAGTCACATTAAAACAGATAGGCTTGAGCTGCAATAAATACCCACGAGTGTCCATAAAATGTTCTCCTACAGTATTAGCGACTGCATGTGGCCCACGATGACTGTGGGAGTGGGTTATGTGGCCCCCGAGCTGAAAAGGTTGGGCACCACTGCTTTAGACTGTGTCACAACAGGTTTTTTTTTCTCTGTTTCCCCTTCCAGCGATAAATCTTATCCCAAGGTTATCTTGTATTCTCCCGTCGGAGGACAAGCGAGTCACTCTCGCGCCCCAAGGGCCGAAACTGCATACCGCGATCGGAGCGTGCCATTCCGGCAACCCTGTTTCTGCATCCCTGTCAGCCGCGTTGTGCAATCCGAGCGTGCCATTCCGGCAACCCTGTTCCCGCATCCCTGTCAGCCGCGTTGTGCAATCCGAGCGTGCGAGTGCCAATAGGAGGATGCACCGACGGGCTCTTCCCCCATGGGCCGCAGTCTCGCGCCTGGCCTCTCCGCGGTGTGTGCGAGGCCTCAGGAGGAATTTCGCGATGTCGGCCGCGATGCAGAAGAATATCACGCTGGAGAATATGAGTTTGTGTCTGAAGACGATGGAGTATGCGGTGCGGGGGCCGCTGGTCATCAGGGCCGGTGAGATTGAGAAGGAAATTCAGCAGGTATCTGCATTTCTCCTTCAGAAGACCTTCAAATAACTTAATTGTCTTATTTGTGTTTGGCCTGCCTAAGGATTTGGATTTTAAGGTGATGGACGATGCCTAAATTTACAATGTAAAAAATGGTTATTTAAGAGGTAAAGTTTGTGCTGTAGGCGTTGGTCTGTCTAGGAAAAAGTGAAACTCCACTGGCATCAAGTCTTGAACAATATAGAATCAGATGCATGAATTGAATGTTGCAGGGAGCCGAGAAACCCTTCTCAGAGGTGATAAGGGCGAACATTGGGGATGCACATGCAATGGGACAGAAGCCCATTACCTTCCTCAGACAGGTGAGGCCTGGGCCTAACTTTGTAGCATGTATGTGCTCTGTTGGGCTGGCTATTTAAGTTTTTGGGAGTCATATGTAGTGCCTGTCTTGCAACTCCATTATGTTGTGGCCTAAGCTAACAAAGGTTTTCATTCTGTAATAGGCTATTTGACTAAAGCATGTTATGACAGGTTGCTCGAATGGTTTTTTGAAACTGAAGTTATAAGAAAAATGTTGATTTCTGTGAATTACAGCAGTAATACAGAGTCTAAAAAAATGTTAATGCTGCAAGAATGAACTTCTCTTGTACCTTATTCCATTTAAATGAAAAATTTAGTGACAGTTAAGATTGCTGAAGATTGTATATATCAATGAACTCTGAGGAAAGATATGGAAAGTCAAACTTTGTTAGTTGTTCAGACATACTGGAGAACTGCTGCAAGTGGCCTATGTAAGCTTGCATTGCAGAGATTTATGCAATGCAAGCTCTTGAAGAAGGTAGCCATCCATGAGTGTACAACCAGGAGGCCACTCTATTGCTGGTTCTATGAAGTTTGTCAGCAAAAATGCCACAGAATTAATTGGATGAAAGACTCCTCTTAGTGACCCATCTCACCTTGAATGTTTTTTTGTGATGGTGTGTAAATTTTGTCTTGTCTCATATTCACTATACCATATCTTGCCATAGATACAGTAGATTTTCATGTGGTTTTCAACATAAGAAAGTTTAATCTCATATTCATGTTCAATGTAATTCCAGTAAAACCCATTATTACTGCCTTAAAAATGGTAATCTTTGTTGTTTGGGTTGTCAAGGTTGTTCAAGCTTATAAGTTATAGGTTAGTGAGGAGGATAGGGTAACTTGGGGGAATATGGCCATTGGGGTAATATGGCCCTTCACAGGGAATCCCCTTATAGACTGAATAATTAGTTTGGGTGAATTTAAAAAATACAGTGAAAACTCGTTAACTCGAACTTTTAGGGACCGGGCAAATCGTTTCGAGTTATCTGAAGTTCGAGTTATCAGGAATCGCCCCCCNTATATGGATAGACGTACTGGACATCTGGACGAAATATGCAGTACATGAGGAGGCCGTGCATGAGGGTATGCTTATGCACCTCCTTCTGCATCACTTGACATTCTCCAGAAATTTTTGTTGCACGAAACTTGAATGCAAGTAAATATCCCTTGTAAAAATAGGACATTCCGTGATTTTTGGCACTATTTATCCATACATGCAAAAACATTGCAACATTTTTCCTGCAATGTAAGACCTTATTTTACACTCGTAGCGCATAGTCACTTTAATCGATGCTTGATCATTCCTCTTACACACACACACAGTCTCTAGATATTGTCTCCCAATCACGTGCATTGTTACTCAAAAGTAAAAGCGTTGCAATCCTGTTTTCCACAACGGTTCCTCAAGTCAGGTAATGATGTCGACTTCTTTGTTTGTTCTCAGTGTAGTTAATGTTTCTTTTTCAACTGCTGAGATTCCTTTATCATGTTTCAAGGTACTCAGCATGTTCCAACACATTTCACACGTTCCTGGACAATCTGGAGTTGTTTTTTTTAGAAGTGGCCATATTCCCCCAACTATAGGGTTAATATGGCCTCTTGGGACCCATGTGAAGAGGTCCCAAATACTCTTTTCCCATTTACTTTTCTGCATGGATTTTGTTGGGAATAAATAAAGGAGACATCGATCAATATTTTCTGAATATTGGCAAAGTTTCATTTCACCTAGATGTGATGCTATAACCTGATTTCATTTTTGGTGTCCATATTCCCCCAAGTTACCCTATAGATGATCTTCCATTGTATTATTTGACATGGAAATGGATGAAATTTCTTGAAATAGGTGGTGTCCCTCTGCGTGACTCCATCCCTCTTGGATGATCCCAAGTTCCCCGAGGACGCAAAGGAACGGGCAAGACGTCTCCTTGCTGGCTGCAAGGGCCACAGTTCAGGATCATACAGTGACAGTGCTGGGATCGAGGTCATCCGACAGGATGTAGCCAATTATATCCAAGAGAGGGATGGTGGTGTCCCCAGCAACCCTGATGACATCCTCCTGTGCGCTGGAGCATCGGAAGGAATCCGAGCATGCCTGAAGCTCCTGAATCAGACGATAGATGGGAAGAAGCCAGGGGTCATGATACCAATCCCCCAATATCCACTTTACACTGCCTCCATTGCTGAGTTTGACTTGCACGCTGTGAGTGAAATTGTGTCTCAGCAATTATACAGGGTGTTCCAAAAGAAACTACCCACTGTTTGTCAGGGTATATCTCCTGGTAAAATGCATAGGCAATGCTAATTTTTGGCATGTGTATTATAGCCCAAAGGGAAAGTAATATACTCGGGGATGGCTGGAAGATCTCGCCTTAGCATTGCAGAAAGGGTACAAATAGTCAAATGGCACACTAAGTATGAAAATGTGACAGAAGTGCAACGGCAATTTGAGAAAACTTTTGGGTGTCGTCCTCCAGAACGGAAATCCATTGTAGCTCTAGTCAGAAAGTTTGATATCACTGGTAGTGTCCTTGATGGTGAAAGAAGTGGCAGGCCAAGAAATGCTCGCACAGAGGAAAGAACCAAGGCCATTTCAGAGTCACTCAAAAGAAGACCAAAAACGTCCATTCGTTTCCTGTCACAGGAGCTGGATGTGTCTCAATCAACAATTTTGCGCATTTTGAGAGAACTTGGTCTCAAACCATATAAGCCAATACTGATTCATGGCCTCTCAGATGGAGACACGGACAGAAGGACTGAGTTTTGTGAAGTGTTCTTGAAAATGCTAGAGAATGATGCCACTCTACTGGATCGAGTCATTTGGACCGATGAAGCAATTTTCAAGTTAAATGGTCACGTCAATCGCCACAACTGCGTGTACTGGTCCACAGAGAATCCAAAGATAACAATGGACAAGGTGGTCAACATGAAAGGTGTCACTGTTTGGGCTGGAATATGGTCTGGAGGTATCATTGAACCATTCTTTTTTTATGGAACTGTCACAGGAAATTCATACCTAGCGTTACTCAATGAAAAGCTGTGGCCAGAAATCGAACACCATGTGGAAGCAGAGCACCTTTACTTCATGCACGATGGAGCTCCAGCACATTCCAGTCAGCAGGTACGGCAGTGGCTGGACGAAATGTTTCCCAATTCTTGGATTGGACGCAGAGGCCCAGTGGAGTGGCCACCGAGGTCACCAGATTTGACACTGGCTGACTTTTTTCTTTGGGGAGTTTTGAAAGTGTATGGTAAGCGGCCATGGCCAGTTGCTGCAGTCATTGATTCAATCCGTTCCCTGCCTGTGGATTTGTGTCAAAAATGTGCCGTTCTGTTCGGTCACAACTGGAAAAATGTCTAGATGTTGGCAACATTCAAACGGAACCGTTTTGAGTGAACTTCCTTACACCATCGTAAAGAGAACTTTCTGGTCTACAAAGTGGTGTCATATTATTTGGTCTACACCTTTTACTTTCTGAGTTATGCATCTTCAAACAGTGGGTAGTTTCTTTTGGAACACCCTGTATATTTTCCAAGCTCATAACAAAAGAGGCATTAGGCAGGGAGTGAGTGTGTCTTGTTCTGAAAGTTGATATGAATGTGTAAATTCTGCAGCCTATATGTTTTAACCCCTTGACTAGCTTAGACATGCAGCCGGCATCATGAGCTTTGTATTTAATTTCAGTAAGTTACAATAGATAGCACCACTATTTTTGCTCAACAATGTTCTTTGAAACATCTACTTTAACTTCCTGCTGCTGGTGGAGCTGTAAGCAGCCAAAGAGAAAATAAAATAAATATATTCTGACCCCACAGGCAATATCCCCCTAGGTGACCGTAGTCCTACCATCTTAACAAAAATAGAGGTCAGTGTTAGAAGAAAGAAATTTCTTACCACTATGTATATTCTGAAAAAAAGTTGTGAAATAAAAGACTGAGCAATGCATGATGGAAAGTAAATTTAATGGTAAGGCAAATGTTCAGCTTTGAATATAATCACAATGTGAACAATTAACAGTTCCCAATGCCTATTTCAGATCACTCATAATGGGATAACTGCAAGCACCTACTCCAGTAGTCCTATTCATTCGTAATTTATTCCCATCTTATATCTTAAAGATAATATTCTCATTCATTCATACCTTTGGGATTGGAATTTATGAACTTTTGAAGGTAATTCAGATTCAGTGAACTTCAGTGAGTTTAGGTACTTGAGTCCCCTTTGCCAGGACATTGAATCCAGGCCTCATGATTACTGATCAAGTGGGCTATCATTACACCACTGAACCCAGGACTTCCTGTTGTGCTTCTCAATGCCATGCTTATCACAGACCCATAGGGCTTTGATATTGGCTTTGATGAGCTCTGCAACCTTGTGTCTTTGATAGGAAAGACTAATGAAATTCCAGGGTTTTCCTATGTTCAATGAGGATTTTCCTTGGAAAAAGGCTCATATTTGAAGGGCATGCTAAGATTATCTTTGTATGAAAGATTTGGAGCTACTATCAAGTGCAACATTTTTTTCCCCACCAGATTAATTACTACCTAAATGAATCAAGAAATTGGGGACTTGATATGAAGGAGCTGAAGAGGTCCGTAGATGAGGCACGGGGGATCTGTCACCCCCGTGCCTTGGTTGTCATCAATCCTGGCAATCCCACAGGCAAGGATATGCAGATGCCTTTATTTTGAACTTCTAGTTAAAGCTCAGACAGAATCTCATTTCTTGGTTTGTGATTGCAGGGCAGGTATTGACCAAAGAAAACATTCAGGACATCATCATGTTTGCACTCCATGAGAAGCTGGTCTTATTTGCAGATGAGGTAAGTCTCTATTTTCTATTTCCTTTTTTTTACAAGGGCTGGTGTGACTCTCCATTCATCTGCAGGTATATCAACACAATGTTTATGCAGCTGGGAGTCAATACCATTCGTTCAAAAAGACAATGATGGAAATGGGTCATCCATATGATAAGATGGAGCTCTTCTCCTTCATGTCTACTTCAAAGGTGCTTCATCATTTCCCTCCAATATGCCACATTATTGTATTGATTATGACTTATGACACAATTAAAAATTGGGCATGCAGGGATACATGGGAGAGTGTGGGTTCCGAGGGGGCTATGGGGAGATTGTTAACCTGGACCCTGATGTGAAGAAAATGCTGTTGAAAAGCATCTCAGCCAAACTCTGCCCAACTGTTCTTGGACAGGTGAGGTCTTAAGGCAAATTTGACCTTTGTCACTTCCCTGAATAATTCTCTGATCTTGCAGTATGGATAATGAAAGGGATCTGTTACTGGTTAACGTATCCACTTTGAAAGTGTTCTTTTGTATGTTGGGGTACATGATGAATATAACCTATGGTAAAGCAATGTAGTATTTTCCATTCTTTTTGTGTGGTTGCCTGTTAATTTATGATGTTGACAAAATTACACTTATAGCTATAGGAATTCAGGTTTCAATTTATTTACATAAGACTTTATTTCTCTTGAGAAGGGAAAAAGTGCAAGTCTTTGTAGCATTGGATTAATTGTTCCCTGCCGTATCTTACTGGATGCAATCTGACTCTGGATGTCTGAGCATGGGAATTTCTCATTTGTTTTGCTGGTTTATTATTAACTCGCTCCCTCTCTTATTGGCAGGTTGCAATGGATGTGGTGGTGAATCCTCCCAGGCAGGGAGAGCCAAGTTACGAGTCTTTCGAGGAGGAGAAGGCAGCAGTGCTGGGATCCCTGGCCGAGCGAGCCAAGATGATAGCCGACACGTTCAACTCCATGCCAGGCTTCTCATGCAACCCAGTCCAAGGTGCGATGTACGCATTCCCACGCCTTGAGCTTCCTGCCAAGGCCATACAGGCGGCCGAGAGGGCAGGGCAGCAACCTGACTTCTTATACTGCATGTCACTCCTTGAGGAGACTGGGATCTGCATCATCCCAGGCTCTGGATTTGGACAGGTTCCAGGAACCTATCACTTTAGGTAAGGTAGCTGATGTTTGTGCCCCATGTGTAACCTTAATTGTACAACATTTTTCATTTTTTATATTTTATACTTATGAAACTGTAATGAAATGAGCATATTTGCAACTTACATACAGGAAGTCCTCGATTTATGACGTCATATTGGAACGACGCAACATATATGGGGTATATGTTAGCGACATTATATCGAAACGACGTAAATTGAGGACTCCTTGCATAATCTGATCGATGCTTTTTTCTGGGAGAGGTGGCAGGGAAGGCTTTCAGCGAGACAGGCGGGCCGGCAACAAACAGCGCAACACGCAAGCTCATGTAGTTTTTTTTTGCATTTTGCCCTCTTTCAGGCTTCGGCATCGACAGCTTCCAACCTTACCGTAGCCATGGGCATCAATGGTGCAACACCAGAGGCGAATCTCTGTGGTTGTCAATACGTCGGTGCAGCCCTTATTTAGCAAAAATATTAATGTTGTAATTTATATTTGAATACTTATAGTATAATGCATTACATAAATATATTTGTAGATAAAAACTTCTGTAATCCAATAAATATGATTGATTGCCTTAGAAATTTCCCTGAAAAGGAGTAATGTTTGCATTTCATCTTCATGGCAAATTACCTCATGTGTCAACAATTTTTCAGTCATGTCTGTCTGGGTGTCCATTAGAGATATGAAGGAGGGAACTTTGACATTCTTTACATTTTCTGAACTGAGTGCTACTTGCTTGCTGAAAAAAAAGTATTGCTAATCCAACTTATTGCAAGTTCTAGTGTGGAACATAGGAAATAAAATGCCTGATGCAAATCCAATGTAATATTTAAAAAATCCACATTGAGGGGCCTGGCTTTAGCATGAAGACAACATTTCTTCTCCCTATTGGAGAAATGGCAAAAGCATGAGGTGCACCACTGGTGCACCTCAAGCTTTCCCCATCAGACATGGCCCCAAATAAAACTTAAAGTGGAGGGGTTAATGCCTGAGAGTGGATTTTTGAACAGAGAACTATCTGATAATGCAGCTTTATTCTGGGGAAAACACATATTTCCTGGAAATAAAGCAACGTTATCGGATAGTTCACTGTTCAAAATCTACCCTGAATGTGCAAATATAATTGTATATGTAGATATCAGTATCGGTTCTTTTCCAATATCAGAATTATCGGTATATCTGATATCGGCCAAAATTCAATATTGTTGCATCTCTAATTATTATTATTATTATTATTATTTTTACTTTAGAAGAGAATTTAATGCTAGAAGAAAGCCAGTAAATATCTTCAGAAAGAAAAATCACTAGGACCTATTTTTATTAGCTTTGGAGCCAGGAACTTTGTATTTTATTGGTCACTTTAGTTACTTACTTACCCTTTGACCCTTTTTAGATCTACCTAATTACTTGCAATGAGGCAAAGAAACAATTCAAGGAGAGTTTGACCTGGTTGTCCATATCTTGACTTTTATTCAGGCGTTTGTGCCCTTTTCTTTTTTGTAGTGACTCCCTAGTGAATGCTGATTTTCAAGGAATAACCTCTCCTTGTCTTTGCTTTATACAAGTGAATGGCAAATCTGTTTAATTGAATTTATTCAATTCTCATAATTTTATTTTGCATTTTTCTTCCAGTTTTGGTGAAGTAATCGACAGTGCAGAATACGGCGTTTTTGATTCGTTGATTTTTTGTAATATTGCAGGACAACAATATTGCCGCAGCCAGAGAAGCTGAAGGACATGTTGAAAAAGATTCAAGATTTCCATTTCATGTTCCTGGAACGCTACAAGTGAATCTGTCTCTATTCCTTCTAGTTCTTGATTTTCCTTTCCCATTGTGTTATTTTTGCACCTTTATGCATGTCAAATGTCTTTTTATACCTGGGTTGTAATGATGGAATCTCAGTTGGTTGGAATGGTGCTCTTTGAGAGCAGGAAATATGCAATTGTCATTGCTTCTCACATGCATTAATTATATTGTAGCTTGATGTGTGATTTGAATCTCTTGCAACCGGTGTGAGGAAGTAGAATCTCTCAATGACCATGAGTTTACTGTCACAGAAGTGATGGAATTCATTTAAACTAATACAGGCATTTTGGATTAATGTTGTGAAATTGCAAGAGTTCTGATGTGTAGTGATACAATTTACAATTTGTACCAGTCTAGGAAATGTTCAGTTGAGTTGTAGTATTTTCAGTTCTTAAAATGTGCATTATTACTGTTGTTGTTGTCATCCTGAAGAATCTGAATGCAATGAGATTGTCTTTTTTTTTATTTTTTAGTGTTCCCTCGAAGGGAAAGGGAAAGAAAGCTCCTCAGCAATACAGTATATTTTAATATGGTAACTGGGTATGGTGATTTGATTGATTTGATATGATGCATTCATACCAGGTGGCTTAGTATGAAATAGACCAGGTGAGGTTCTACCCATGCTGGGTATATTTGTAATAATTTCCAGTGGTAATGCACACAGGAATACAATTTTGGGCAACCAAAAGTTATAAATGCATTATATGATGTCCCATTTTCGAAAAATTTTAAAATCAACTTTGTGATTTCTCAGAGGTCTGTATGATCCTGATGCAGATGAGAAAGGGAGTCCTCCTTTCACAGTAATTTTAGTCTTTCTAAAGAATTTAATGTTGATGCATTTAGTTACTCAACAGCATTGCACCCTCTTTCACTCTTGCACTTTCTTTAGAGAGCTCGTCACGCAGCTCTCTACTATTACACGCCTTAACATTCAAAAGTGGCTTGAAGGGTCTTCTATGTTCTTTGAGGTCATTTTGGACACCACTGTTTCTGCACATTACACCTTAAGCCTATACTTTCAGGATTTGGGGTGGAAAATTCAGAGAAAGTAATTTTTTTCCTCAGGGGGCTTGAGTGGAAGAGTTGAGGTATTTAAGGGGTAGAACATGCAACATTTCCCGTTGACATACAAGCTGGTACTACACACTATTGGCAAAATATTTTGTTGATCTTTTAAAATAATTCATTTTCAATGTGTTTCATACACTTTCCTGCCATTTTATCATAGAAAGGGTTCAAAGAACTATGTAAGAAGTACAAACAAGTTTTAAAGAAATGTGAAGCATTCTGCCATATGTTGGATTTTCACTGGGAAACAAACTGGAATGCAGGAAAAGTATGAGTATTTATAAAAACATAGAAATGTCAAGGGAACAATGGTAGTTTTTGAGTATGGTGGTCTAGGATGTCAATATGGTATGGTTTGAATAATATAGTGTTGATCCACCATTTTGCATGGTAGTAAGGGCGCATAAAAATTCATCACTCTTTCAATTGATGCAACTCATTCAACAATTTCTCTGCTGTGGGGATTTCCTGAGAGCCTCCATTATCTTTTCCCCTCCAAAAAAGAAACTTTGAGATCTCAGATGACCTTGAAGCTGTGGATACAACAGTGTATAATATCTGTGACCATGCTTGTTGAAAAGAATGTGTCATACCTTTCCATTAAAGGAAAATGTAAAAGCCAAAGTCTGAGTCATGGTTCACTGAAGTTTCACTGAATGTAGACAATTTTAATTGTGTTCTGATGTGGTTCATCTCATTAGATGTGAACTCCTGGGAAAGTCTTCCAATTGGTATTTAGGGAATCTTAATCCATTGTTTTTGAGTGCCTCCTCATTGCACAGAATCAATAAATCCTGTGATTTGATGTAGAATGGGTGTAGTTTATTCCCAGATGCTGTACATGATGAACTCAGAGATTCCAGGTTTCCCCTTTGAACAGTTCTCTATACAGATAGGAATAAAATGGTTAAAAAAAACTGTCAACTGAAAACCAAGTCAGATTGGATGAACAAAACTCAGAAGTATACTCTATACTTGGCATCATACACTTTGTTTTGTTACATTGGGGTAAGGTCTTTTGTTGGAGGAACAGGCTGCCCTTCTGATGAAGATGAAGGAGGTGGTGGTGGCAGCTGCTGCTGTGGCTGAGGTGGTTCCTGAGTGACAGGAGGGGCAGCCTCAGAAGACTGGGATGGAGTAGATGCCTGGGGGGGCACTTCATCCATTTTTGGAGGAACTGCAAAACAGGGAATTCAGCTATCAACAATGCAAAAATCAGCCTTGATATTAGCCCAAATGTTCACACATATGCTGACATGTAAGTTCAGAGAAAGAAAGGGGACTCATGAAGCAAATAATTTTCTCCTTCAAACACAGGAGCATCCAGGGACTCAGTATCTTCTTTCTTTTTGAAGTTGATGTTTTAAGCTTTCTCAAGCAATTTAATGACTGAGAAACTCAAATATAACTTTAAATTCACCTATTTGAGTTTTGCAGTCACCCATCCACCAGACAGGTGAAGTCAATCCTTCCACTTGTTAAAGTATGCAGAAAGAAAGAGATACATTAATAGAATGAGAAAACAGAATCTCCCCAAGCATGTGTGAGAAAAGGTAACACTTGCTTGCCCACTCTGTCATAAAATAAGCAGAAGTAGCTGCATAAAAACATCCCCTGAAAACACTTTCTGGTTATATACAGGGTGTCCCACATAGCGGATGATTTTAATTGTGTATAAAGTTCTTCCTATATGAACTAACTGAACAAAATTTTCATAACATTTAGACAACTGGCTAGCATTTGTTGTGAAGTTTCAGCCGAATCAAATGCACCAATTACGAGCTATGTCTGGCCCACCCCAACTCATTTTGCTGAAGAAGTTTGTGCCTGGCTGGAAAAAAAGTTGCCAGATCAATGTCGCCAGCAATGCCCTGGCCGGCCTGTTCACTGGACTTGATGCCTTGCAACTTCTTCATGTGGGGCTTTGTCAAGTTTCGACTTGACAAAGCCCCACTACAAAGTCTACACAACCAAACCATCCCTATCCTCAAACTGAAGGAACAAATTACTGCTGCGTTTGTAGACGTTACTGTTGAAATGTGTGAGAAAACACTGCTTGAATACCACAAATGATTGGGAAAAGTCCTTGAAATCGATGGGGGCTATGTTGAAGTTCATAGTTAATTGGTGCATTTAATGTTGCTGAAACTTTGTCACAATAAATGCTAAACACTTGTCTAAATGTGAAAATTTTGTTCAGTTAGCTCAAACAGGAAGAACTTTATACGCGATTAAAATCACCTGCAATAAGTGGGACACCCTGTACATAAGATGTAGTGATGTGCCTACATCCATTCTTATGGGGGCAAATTTAATTTTCCAAGCTGTTCCTTTGTCCTTTGAATGTCTTGTCTTGGAGTGTATACAGTTTTTTCCACAAGTACACTTAATAATGACAATAGACAAAATCTACTTTCTGCTTTGTTAGCTGTCAGTGTACCACATATTACTCATTGTTTATAAGTTACCAAGAAAGAAAAAAAGGAAAAAATGCCCATAATGGGGAGCTTTCCACATAACACCAACCACACAGCTTTTTCTGGTTGTATTCTCTATGAAACATGAAGGAATTTGGATTTGCAATCATCTGCAGACAAGTTATGTGGCAGTTAACAGTTAAGTGGAAGATTCTAGTCCCAGAGAGTCAACAGAGTTCAAGGATGGAATCACTTCAGTAGTTGAGTTCTATGTTCAGCCAATGACTCACCAAATGTGTTGGAAGTAGTGATCTGCTGGCCAGGGGTGGATGGGACATTGTAGGGCTTTCCCTGGCTTGGGTGACCCTGCCAGCCCTGACTTGGATACCCCTGTTGAAACCCAGCATGGTACTGCTGCTGCTGCTGCGGGGGATAGCCCTGGTGCTGAGGATAGCCCTGATAGTACGATCCAGGCTGCTGTGGATAGGGTTGCTGGTACGGAAGGCGAGGCTGCGGTTCCTGTCGACCTGGGAAGGGGAAAGGCTGCTGCGGCGGGAGCGAGTACTCTTCTTGGGAATCTCCACCTGGAATACCATATTCCTGGAGTGGATGCTCCTGCTTCATATCTTCAATTATTTCATGCATATCTTTGGCAATTTTGGCTACACTTGCAACCATCTAATCCACAATTACAGGACTACACTCCACAATTTATATTCAAAGTTGGAATCATCAAAGATTTTCAATTGAAGGTGAAAAATAATTCAACATTCCATGTAGCATGTAGCATATCTTCACCATAAGTTAATAAACGTTCTTCATGTCATGGAGACTGTTGGGGCTATTAGACCTAGGCCCAGGAAGTAACATGCTGTGTCTTTATCCATGTATATCTGTCTGCCCTGTAGAGGTCTGTACAGGTTGATTTGTTGATGTTGGCCAAATTATCTTTGTCTGTACCTGATCCCAATGTCAACTGCCAGTTATGCTGACCTACAGCTCATTTTCAATGTCCACCTTCAAATTTTGAAGGGTTCTGAAAGTCATGGGAATCAACTTGAAAACTTCAAATGTTTCACATGTGACAGCTAGTATTGGAATAATTATGAGTAAGTTGCCAATTTTTTTCAGGAAAAGAGGCAGGAGTACATATCATTTCATACATTATTATTGAAATGTACAAGGCCTATTCCGAAGGCCAGTAATCAGTAATGCAGAGTGTTCATATTCTTATCTCAAGAGTCTGAAAGATGCTGATGGGAAGGGGAAGAGACCTTGATACTTCTGAGGGTTGCTGAGGATACAGAGAAGAAATGCTACTACTAGGAAAAAAGTGTTCTGGAAAGTTTCAGAGGGAAGTAGAAAAAAAACCAGGGGATCGGGATTTTTCAGCATAAAAATTGAATGTATTCTTTTGCGTAGGAAAAAAGAACAAAATTAATACATATTGCAGTAGGCCTACCCTGAATGACTATCTTCTCAATAGAAAGAGAAGTGCACTTTAACAGGTTTTCAATAATCCAGATGAAATCACAGCCCTCCTGAAGTCCAAATTAAGAAGTGTTGATAGCCCATGACAATGCTGCATTTTTGTCCTGTCTGGTGTGACAATTTTGATTTTTACATACCAGCAGCAGGTGGCTGCAGATATGCTGTATCCATCTGGTCGGTTGAATCCTGATCCGGATCTGGGTCTCGATCTGGATCCTGTTCCTGGTCCTGGTTTTGCTCCTCATCCTGCTCCTGCAGCTGCTGTTCTTGCTGTTCCTCATCAGGCTGTGTTGGGCCATTCATTCCTTCCGTGAAAGAATCTTCTGTACTCTGAGTGACAGCGTCCCCTGCTGGCTCCTCTGTCTTATCTGGCTCCTCTTCCTGCTTTTCAGGTTCGATCTCTGTTGCATCCATGACCTGTAATCAACACAACAGTGTGCAAATAGGGACTACAGGTTCTATAGGAAAGGAAAGAATCATAGGTCAGTCAGATTCAGTTCAAAACAGTTCAAAACAGAACTTGCAGATCATGCACCTCAAACTCTAGAGGTGCATTTAGGGTTTAAGTAGCACTTCACTCAATAATAATAATAAAAAGCTGTTTATCAGTCATTAGAACAAGTCATTCACTCAAATGCAAACCTGAGTTGGTTCTGGTTGTTTTGGCTCAACAGTCTCATCAGCTTCAGAAGTCTCCATGGGTTCATCATCAACCTTGGTAGGCTCTAATTTGTCTCCTTCCTCTGATGTGACTTCAACAGCTGTAGCAGTAGGCTGAGCAGCAGCTGCTGTTGCTGCTGCTTTCTTCTTCTCCTCTATTCCCTGCTTGAGCATTTCATACTGCTTCTCCACCATGTTTTGGAACATGTCATCATCAATGGTGCGATTGCAGATCTGCAATGCCAAAAATGTTCTGCTTAGCATATTTTCAGAAAAGAATAATGACAAGATTCTTTTTCCTCACCTTCTTGAGCTCTTCATGGAAAGAATCACTGGATTCAATGAACTTGGCCTTCTTGGATTCAAATTTCTCCTCTATTTGCTGTAGTTCATCTTCCAGCTTTCTCTGCAAGGCAAAAAATTAATAATTACACAGACCAGGGTTCATAACAGAAAAATCCACAACAGTTTCACATGTTTCCAAAAATCTGTTTGTTTTTTTTTCTTTGTTAGTTTTTTTTATCTTCTGTCTTTTGCAAGGAATGAAAAGGTGAAATGCTTAAAAAAATCTCAACTCAGGAAATTTTAGGAGACCAAGTCCTCCCCTTAGTCCTTAGAAATCAACCTTCCGGTTTTTTTACCTATCAAATCCATAAAGAAGGTAATGATGATCCTTGACAAGAAACCTCAAACTCAGATGTTTTAACAAGTACCAAGGAAATAATTTTGACTGCTTACTGATTTCTAATGCACTTTACTCTTTGGCAACTAAGTGCAGTTTTTACTTTTCCTAACTAATATAGACTTTTTGAGCAAGCCAAATAAATAAATTTTACAGAATAATAGTTTTATGCTACTTTTAATCATTTAATTTATGCTACTCCAATCCTATTTATTAAAATAAAGTGTTAGCTACATATATAGTTATATGATATCAATATCATGCCAGGGAGAAATAATTTTTGAAGTCAGCCTATTAATACAGATAGAGGCTAGATAGACTAGCTGCAATGTAGAATATGAACAGGAGAAAGTTATTTTAAAATAAAATAGTCTCCCACTCACTTCTTAAGTCTCTGTAATAATTTCCTCTTAGTATTACTGTGATTGTCTAAGATTGGGTACCTGGTGCATGGTGAGGGACTGGACCTGTTTCTTGAGGACCTGCATTCGAGCTGTGGTGACCACTGACCGCACATCTGGGACCATCACTTCCGAGAAGATCTCGTTGATGAGGCGATGGTTCCGCATGTACCGTGCCTTTGCCAGATGTTTCACAGAAAACCCATCATCCTGGTCTGCAAGTACAAACAAATGCATTCTAAGACTCAAGCTCTCTCAAATTCTGCTATAAATTCTTCTACATAATTTCAGGAATATTCACACTGGGAAACAGTCATCCCAATACATACAATTCTTACAGAATCAACTTCCTCTGAACTTACACCTGATGGAAATAATTCTTGAATTCATTACTTCTCATCATTAAATTCATTTTGATCAAATTTGGTTAGAAAATTTTAATGAAAATGTCGACATAAGTAGAAAAAATACTATGCAGATAAATATTAATTTGTCAGAATTTAGCAAATGCTCACCTTCTTCATCCTCTGCCGGCTGGATGTCGATGCGGCGGTCGATGGCTTTGCTCATGGCAGACTGTTTCTCCACTGGCTCCTTCTCTTCCACTGGGGGTGCTATTAAATTCAGGGAGAAGAATGACAATCTGGAAATAGCCTTTTGAGAATGACTTGTTCAATGTTCAGAGTCTTGACAATAAATAAGAGGTGAAATTAGGAACCAGAGTGTTCAAGAACTTTATACACGCTTCTGAGATCAGCTTGCATATGAATATATATATATATATTTTTTCTTAGAGGACAAACATGTTGCAAAATGCTCTTCTAATAATCATCTAATAATAATTCTAATAATAATAAGCTTAATAATCATCTTCAAAATGAAGTGTACGAAGTCAGAGACATGACAAAACTATGGAAATGAGGTTTATATTACTGATTAGTACTGAACAAGGTTCAAAGTATTAGAAAAAGAAATTGGCTTAGGTTAAGCTGATAATGAAATACTAAAATTTGAATGGCTGCAGAATAGTAGTAAAACAAAGCTTGGAAAAAAAATGAAAAGAAAGGTTTTTGAAAGAATTTTGATACTCAGGGGATTTTTGTGCAAGAAACAGTTAAGGAGAATGGCTCTAACATGCCTTCATTTCCACTGCATAGAAAATTAGCATTTTTTAAAAGTAAAAATGGGGGGAATCTATTTTCTACACAAGTTTCCACTCTTTTATGCATTTAAGTAACTTAATGAAACAATAGGCTAAAATTTGAAAAGGATCCAAGTGAATAATTACATCAATTACATTAACTGCTTTTATAGTTTTTCCCTTGCAGTCTGTGCCCTGTGCAAATGTGAAGCCTTCAGTGTTCAGAAATATACGAAAATCATGCTCTGGGAAATTATGTTATAGTGATTACCAATACAGCAAGCAGCAAATACCATTTTCATAACTAAGTAAGAGAAAGTACATCCTTTCAAAAGGAGCTGAATATAAAAGTTGTTGATCTACTGAATTTCCATGAAATGCAAAATGATGAAAAAAGGAAATAAAAGGTGGCTAAATCCGATATTATTAGCTTAAAAAGAAGAGAGGTTTCATCTAGGAGTCTATGTTCTGCATTAACAATATATTTAGCATAACAACACTCCATCAAAATGCAAAGTTGTGAAACATGAAAAAGACATTCTAATGCAATCAGGACACTTCTAGTTTAAACACTACTGCATGCAGATATTGTCAATGGAAAAATACGAGAAAAAATCTCCCCATTTTACAAATACATGGCAAGTTCAACTTGCATATAGTGTCTGAAGAAAAATACATGCAAACATCATACCCCCTACACACTCAGTTTGAGCATCACTGGAAAATCATAAGATGATCTGATCCCTACAAAACTGAATTTTTCCTGCAACATCAAGAAAGCCCCTTCAATGCGAACAGGCCATCTGAGCAGTTGCAGGAAACATGATGGAATAAAAGAGGTATTTGTATATACTTGTAGAAAGAAAATCAACTCACAGAACGAAGAATGGGGTGAATGAAGACGGTCATTCCCCGAGTGACATGGAGGGAAGAGCCACCCATTGCAATCAAGACAGAGAAGGACATAGAGAAACAGGCAATGGAACCCCCAATTAGCAATCATAACACTCTCATACAAATTCACAAAAACAGAAGAACTGTCATTTTCCCAGTCTCAAGTTTCTGCCACAAGAGGCAAGTTTCTGCTTTTCCATGATTTGACATGAATGAGTTGAAAATCTTGTAATTTGCATGCAAATGTTATTGAGACAGCTATAGTGTAGTGCAAAGTGTTGAGACAAATAGCCTGATTCCTCTGAATGCATTGGAAAACTAATTTCATATACCACTGGTCCTTTTGGGTCAAGAAGCCCTTTTGGATCATGATACCACATGTCTGCTTAGTTTCAGGAATGATTAGGAATTAGTCTGACATGGAAAGCATCCTCAGAGTAAATTGGACTCAATTTACTTGAACTCAAAAAATCAGATCAAGATGGCAACTGCAGTTGCACTCAGCATTTAGAAATAAATATGATGGAACATAAGGACTCTGGAGTATAACTGCAAATATGAACTTATTTTCAGCAATATCCCAAGTACTTAAGGAAAACAACCTTACTGGTGAAGTTGGAGAAAGCTATAAGCAAATTCCAAGCAAATTTTTCTCATACCAATTTGATGAGTCCTTTTCCCCCTCAAAGTGATCTAGAAGTTAAATAATGCCAATGCACAGCAAGTCAAAGTTGACTGTGAGATAATGCACTTGATTGGCTAGTCTGGTGGGGTCAGAATGTACATGCCCTAAAATTCAATAAGCATAATAATAATAAAAAACTCCATTGGTAAACCTAGTTGTTCGCAGTTCTTCCTTTCATGCATCATGCGAAAAGGCAATCTCATGTGGCCAATCTTCATGCACAAAATGCCTAACAGAAACAACCCAGGCAACCTCATATTGCCATCACTACTCATGGCCTGAAACGCCCAAAATCTTCATGCCATATCTACTGAAATAGCTTTGGAGTGCATGCCATATAACTGACATAAAAAAGGACTAATGAGGCTTTGAAACTCGGGAAAATCTCGGACGACTCACCCAGTTTCCCCTTGGCCTTAGCTGCAATGAAGGTCTGGTAGGCAGGGGAGCTGTGGTAAACTCGCAGAGCTTTCTCATATTCCACCTACAAGAAACACCATTATTAGGAGACATAATAAATAAGAAACATGCTGAAACAATATAACTCAAAATTAATCCTGTAGCTACAAGAACCCAGACAGTCATAAATTTAACTCTTTCATTCTGCTCTTCATTCCCAAAGAATACTTTCAAAATACTTTGCCCAATTACTATCATGCATCTTCATGAAAGAACCAAGAGAATAGGATTTTTCAAGTTCACAATGCACAAATGGTTAAATTCTTATATTATTATATATTGGGCTGAAAATCATAGTTACTTGCAAGGTGATCCCCAAAACAATACTTTCATATTGGTTTCAATTGTCAATTGCCGTTATAGCTGTGCAACTGCATACGATTGTCACAAATCTGATGGGGAGTTCTCATCAAAGTCTTGCAATACCTTCAAGGAAGTCTCTGTTATGCTTGATCAGAATCAGACAGAATGGAGCAAAGCCATAGGTGAACAGAAAAAATATAAATTCAGCATCATGAGCACAAAAGAGTGTGGAGGAAGGAATGAAGGAAGCAGAATTTCAATAGCTAAAGCCTACCTTCTCAGACTCATATTCATCCACAAAGACCTGCTTGTGGGACTCATCTAGATCCCGCCACATCTGCCCTATGATCTTCCCGATCTCCCACAACTTCATGTCTGGATTGGCTGACTTGACCTGGTCCCAAACCTTCCGGCTGTACCGCATGTAAGGCATCAGAGGCTTCTCTGGAGGCTTAGGAGGTTTTGGCACACCTCCACTCTGTGAAGGTAAGTAAACATGTTCTAGCAAACAACTGTTTCTACTGTTCAATTCAACTGTTTCTTCAACTGTTTAGCACTAATGAGGAATTGGGAAGAAGGCTCGTCATCATCAACAACTTAGGAAAACTGTGGAAAATCATAAATTCAACATTGGACTGAACTAAGTACATAGAGTGGACAGTGACTCTTGATAATGCACAAAACCTTAACAGACATAGAAAATTCTAACCAGATTCTGGACTGACTGAACTAGACATGGCACTTTATAAAGTCAAATTTTAATGGTACAATTGAAATATAAATGTGTAAATGGGGTGGGTACTGCATATCTACTTAATACTCATAACATGAACCAAAAATACAAGATCATGGCATTCAGAAGACTTGGCAAAGGTTCAAGGTAAGAGAAATTCAACTCACATTCCGAGAGGTCAACTTCTGTGGGGCAAAAGCTGCATGGCTGGATGGAGAGAAGGGGCTGGAGCCAATATCCTTCTGCAAGTATTGATAGATAAGTTTGATTTTAAAGTCTTGAATGAAATACAACAAAATCAAACAATGATTGGGCACTCACCAGTCCTGATCCACTGCTTGGACCACCAGCTGCTCTCAGCCTCTCTATAAGAGAAAATAAAGCATTCAAGCAAACAAGAAGTGAATATATCTACTTGTAAGAAATACCTGATCAGGCTTAATCCAAACCTGCTTATTCATATTTCAGTGCTCACACAGTGCATCAAATTGAGTTTTAAGAGTAACTCAGCAAATACTCATGACACTCATCCTTTTCATGCAAAGCCATTTTGTGGGAACAAGATGAGACAGACACACCATGCACGCATGAGACAAACTGAGGTCTGAGAATTGTGGTCTGCTGAGGAGCTACATAAATATTACGGAAATGTCCTTCATGTACCATGGCATATGATTTGAAAAGTCTACCAGACACTGCTACTATATATATATTGGAGGTGGTCCTCCAATTGCACTAAAATTTTATTTGATAATAATTGAAAGTATAGTACAGCTACAAAAATTAAACTCATCACAATTTGAAGAACGGAGTTTTACATGAGATAAAACTAAATAGGTCTTGGCTAATATCAGCAAGGCATGAATATGCCATAAAATAAGATAATAAGTCTTAGAGTTCTCCATCCAAGCTTAGAGAGAAGAAAAGCCATGGTATTCTGAAAATAATTTCAAGAACACTGTTTCCAAACATCTCTGACTATGAAAATTAGGTTTTTCTCAATCTTTCAAGAAAGGTAGTTAGGAGACCATAGACCTCAGAGGTTCAAAGGTGTCTGCATGCTCTATGATTAAATGGGTAAAGCCTCCCTTATGGAAGGGAAGCAAAACTGGGGACATACACATACCTTTGAGAATGTTGAAACTCAGGCTTCCTGCAGGGGAACCATAGGGATCTACAATACAACAACAAAAACACAAGAAGCAAACCAAAACAAACATGGATTTTTTTTTGGCAGGCAATGAAAACAAAGGACATTTACTCCAACAATATAAGCAGATTCATGTTAACAACATGCTAGTCACCATCAGCATCTTGCTTCCCTGAATTGTATAGATTGTTTAGTCACTAATAAGAAAGTAGAAACATTCCTCCCCATAGCATTCACTCGGGTCCAGTTTGACTGCAATATGCGTTTGGCCAACACAACATTCTTTACCTCAACTATTGAGCATGAGAAGGAAGTAGAAATGGTGAGTATAAGGGGATTGCTTGTAGAAGTTTACACTTCTGGATGTGAATAAAGTATAATGTAAATGTAAATAAATATGTTCATTTACAGAACCCAGGGATACCCAATGTGATATGATATGATTGGAGTACCATTGCCACAATTGAGAGAAAGATAATTGTGATGACAGGGTGACTACAGTGTTGGTGACATGAACATGCTTTTTACTTTCAGAGGTTCTACATCATTATGTCAACTGCATAAGGACAATGACAGGCAGACATCAAATAGACATCGAGGCAAATGACACTGTAACCCATGGGACATTGACCATTCATATTCAATAGGCAAACAGCTTAAATAGACCATATGATAGGTTGAGAAAGTGATGCATTATTTCATTTTAAAAAAGGAGCATGTAACACTTATATGCATTTACATTGCATGCAAGTTTATTCCTAAAGAAATTTTTTGGAGCTTCATAGGCAAAATTTTAATAGGATAATAGGACCTTCCTTATCTCCTGGGTTAAACTATGAAAAAATATGCTGCATATGCTGCATGATGGTCTTCATTAAGTTGCAAACCATCATAAAAAAACCAAGTTTATTACAGGTACATTATTACTCACTGCATGAAGACCATTCACTTCTTGCAGTTTCTAGTTCCATAACCTTCACAGCAGCAAAAAAGGAAATCAAAGTTATTCGGTGCCTCACTCATATTGAAGTTAATACCTTTTTTTCCCCATCAGGTCAGCTGCCACCTAATGCTAGGTATTGCATAACATGCCAACTTCGATATACACTTGCGTTGGAATGATTCTAACAGAGCTAGACCAACAATAATGTTCGCCCAAGTTTTGTTTGCAAAGGTCCAATTCTTCCACGAAGAACATTAACTGTTTTAGCAGCAAGATGTTCCTAACTTATGATAGGTTAGGCCTGGAAAATATTGACCCTAAACTTACGAGTGGGACTGCCCAAGGATTGCCCCAAATTGGGGAGAATGTTGGGCTGCCGATAACTTGATGGTAGGGCCATTGGATGATTTTGTCAAACGTTGGTCAGTGCTTCTGCTTCCTTCAGTGCTTCCTGTCCTGCGTAGTCCTCTATATCTCGAGTAACTAGGAAATTTAGATTGTGAAATTTATTTTGCTATGCCTGCCCTAGCCTAGTTAATTCTCAGTCGGCACACCACTACATCTAATTCCACGCCGAATGCCAGTCGCCATCTTGTTTTGTAGTGCCCTGCATTAGTAATAATTTTACGGTCACCGGTGCGGACTGCATCTGCGGACTCGCGGTACCGACGCCCGCGGCACCTGTTCCACCAATGCGGGAATAAAGACGCTTCTCGTTTTGGGACCAATGCCTGCAGCCGACGCTGAGCGTCTGCTAGAGGGAGGCGGAGCCACAGATCTTCGCTGACCGCAGCCGTTGACCCGCTGTTGCGTCATTTCCCTGTGCTTGGCTTCTCACGCCTCGTGCCGGGGAAATTAGTGGGGACGCATTCATCAAGGTCCTGGAATGCCAAATTCTTTGCGTCGGTTGTCGATGGAAAAGGAGGCACTGAAGCTCGGTAAGCCCTAGCTCCTCTATTAGGCCTAGCTGGCAACATTCAGTCGCCTTCTTGGCCCTCTTAGGCCCTCTTTTCTCTATGAAGTGAGCGCCAGCACCAGTTCAACCCAAGAAACGCCTTCTCCCACGAAGCTGATCACGACCTGCGAGGAAGTTGGCCTCTTCCAGGATCTCCCAACTTCCAATCCCTTCGATGAAGTGTTCCGCAGAGCCGCCGAAGGGAAATATCAACCCGTGAGCTGTGTCCTCTATGGTTCCTGCTTCCCGGGTTGATTTGTTTATAATTCCATATTCGTTTATTTTACAGACTTTGGTCATCAGCTCCTCCCCCTTAAACACACCTCAGGTTCTACCTCAGCAATTAGAAATCCCACAAATTTCTTCAGGATCTAACAGTCCTCAGGGAGATGACACAATATCCAACTTGCCTGTCATAAAACCAAAGGGAGAAGAACTGACACCTGCTGCAGATAACACTCGAGATGAACCCAGCATCAACAGGTGGGGATTCTGAGATTAATTTTGGTGTTTTCTGTTCCGTTTTTCCATAGACAAGTTTTAAATTTACTACTTTAAAGTTTTAAATAGACTTGTGGCCTGTCAGCATCCAATCTCTACTGAGTCAAGCATATTGCTGGTGTTTCATGGTGCTGTATTTCTCCGTTACCTCATCTGTTATGGTATTTTGATTTATTTTCCATCAGCTCAGCTCACATCTAATTTACATATTCTCACCAAAGGTGATGCCACATAACTATATGGGCCGTTCCAGAGCAGATGGCATGAAATCGGTTTATTTCTTGCCGATAATGACTGTATTTCTAATCAAAGTTCCTTTAATGAAAAATTAATGCTTTTCAAAAATAAGACCTGCTTTTCCTACAATGCTTTGCTCTTTGAATCAAGAAGTTTTTGCCAACTTTCAAATGATTAAAGGACACAATTTCTTTAGATGCTGGTGAAAGTTTCTTTGACCAATATTTTGTTTTTCAAGTTTTTTTAATGGCATTCTTGAGTGAGAGTTGCACAACATGATTTTCTCAGCAAATGTTAAAATCCTGTTATGCTGTTCTCGCAGCTGATTCTACAAACATGAATATACAATTCCCTCTCCTGCCTAATTCCATGGTTTTAGATGTCATTGAGTTTCAACAGGGAAAATTCGAGATTAGGGAAAATAGTTTTTCTGATAGATATTTATTTTAAATACATTTTAGTTTAAGTTTTTCATTGGGATGTTACTAAGAAGAATTCATTTTATTTTATTTATTTACATTTTTTCTTTGAAAGAAGAAATCATTGCATTATTGGGCAACATCATACACTTGGATGGACTATTATTTTTGCTTCTGTGCCATTTCTGCCTAAGCAGCAAGAAATTCTAATAGGAAGGTGATTGTCTGCAATTTCTTTTTGGGAAGGAAGGTAAATAGCAAATGAAATAGAGAAGGAGAACCAAACTGAGAATGGAACCAAAACTGCATTCCAAAATGTTATGGCAGGAAGAAAGTGTAAAGTCCCTCACTTTAATTGATTCTTTCCACAGGTGAAATGTTTCTAAATTGGAATTGGTGACAAATCTGCCATGTATCTTTTGTGGTCTGTCGAGAATTCAATAGTGTAGTATAATTTGCTTCTCGTCACATCATCTGGTGCTTCATTTGTGAATTTGAACTGCTCATGCAGACATGGAGGAACCTGCAGAAATGAGGTGGAAACACCAAAGGTGATTCCCTTGCGAGGCGGCTGTGTGACGCCGGAAGCGTGCGTACCTGTGAACCCACCGGCATCGGCGAAACCCTCCGTTGCGCTGAGGCCGATTGCACCGGCAATGTCGGTGACCCTTAGACTCCCCCACGGGGAAGTGATCACCATCCCCACTTCATGCACGATCGACATCTCAGAGGAGGAATCGTTGGTGAGTCCAACCGAGCCGTGGCATTTGTGTGGCCGGGGGACAGTTTTGTCATTAAAGGTTTGCTATGCACTATCTGAAGGCCAATGATGCACAGTATGTTGTGTTGCATTGCCATATATGGTGCTAAAGTGATTAACTATTTGATACTGATGTAAGGTCCCACCCCTGGAAAGACTGAGGCAAGTTCTTACTGAAAATATTCATTGCTCTGGGAACAGATCCCTGAACAAAAAAAAAAACTAAAGGATTTCAAACTAGGGATGAAGCATTTAGGCAAATATGAGGGATGTTCTACAAGTGCACTTCAAAAACTTCATTTGTAACAACTGGAACTCAACATCATCCCCACCAACATGAACACTTTTGGATCCTTCTGAGGCACTTTTGAAATCCATTTTTTACAGACTTTTTATGTTATATTTGAAGTGCTCAACTTTATTGTTCAGCAAAATCTTGCTGGGAGGCAGTTTCACCAAATTGAAGACCTTAGCAGGGCTGAACAGGGAGTGCTTTCTGGAGTACCACAAAAAGCCTATAAAGAGGGGTTTCAAAAATGGCTCAGGAGGGTTCAAAAGTGTGTTGGTTAGTTGGGATGATGTTGGAGAGCTCTTTTTTTTTTAGGGGTGGTTTATGCAATACATAATTAACATCCTTCATAATAGGGAGGTGCAGAGACAAGATAGGAAAAGTTGAAAGGAAAGTAAAGAGCTTCTGGGGGTGGACCTGCTTGCCTGTTTACAAGGAACCCTGTTTGCTTCATCATTCAAAGAGAAACTTCACATGAAATCTATCCTTCATATGTCCCCATCAGCAATAAACAATTTAGCATCTGTTCACTTGGAATTTGTCTGGACTTGCAGGCAGCTAGAGCAGGAGTGAGAGCTGCAGTTACTAAAAACTTCCAGACCAGGACATACAAATGGAAGAAAAAATCAGTGGTGGTATGTTTCCTGCTTTGCCATTTTCTTTTAACTCCTTTTTTATGCAAAGCCTTACTTTGTTATGAATTTTTGTAGATTGGAAAATCGAGTGTGCACGATGTTGCACGGTGTAACAATGAATCTGTTAAGGAGCGCAACAGGTGAGATGTTGGTCTTTTTTTTTCCCTCTTCTCGACACTCCGATGATCATAACGCCTCGTCGACAGGATGGCAGCCAGCCGTTTCCGCGAGCGACGGAAACTGTGGATCGGCGAGATGGAGATGAGCATGCATCGATACATGCACGAGAACCGAAAGCTCCAGAAAGAGGTGGAGACCTTGAAGTCGCAGGTGCTGGCCTTGAAGACCTTCCTGCTGGAGCACAGCGCTTGCATCAGGTACGATGAATCGGAGAGAGCCGGTGCCAAAGACGTGGTTCCTGCACCTCTCAGGCCTGTGATTCCTTTGATAAATTCTGAGTAAGTATTAAATTAGCTATTGCATCAGCTGGCACCAATGTGCAATATCTAAGCAAATGTGTTTTGAAATCCTATTGAAGAAATATTCAGTTGGAGGCCTTATTCCTCAAAATGAGGTCATTTTTGTAACTGTTTTAATTTTTATTTTTTATTGCTTCCTGCAATGTTTGGTAATTTTATGCATAACACTGGGCTAATTGGATGCATAACATTTTCTTTTTCTATGACTAGGTGAAAAGAGATTGATGCACCTGTTAGAAGTCACAAATCTCAACCCCTGGTGACTCTTGCTGCAGGGATCATCACACATCTCAAAATGAGGCATAAATCTCTCTTATCTTTAGTTTTTTTTTTTGTTTTACATTTTACTTTTGCTCAGATGACTTGGTTCTGGTTCCCTGTGTCCTACTCCCAAGGCTGGGCTCATTTGACACGGTTTTGGTTTTTCTATCCTGTGATAAACCCCAAATAGAAGGGCATTCAAAGATGTGAATCCTTGCACCGTTATCCGGTTGCATTTCCCAGATATCTCGAGGTATCGGAAACAAATACGACTACTACCTGTATCACACTTTTTGGTGTGGCTCTTGTTGAAATTTTCACACGTTATCATGTGTTCAGACTGACCGGTGTCGAGTGCAGTACCGGCACAGATGTTATTGTGGCTGCCTTCCTGTTTTTGGACAATAAAGAGTGTGTTTTATGCACACAATATCTATGCCATCAAAGGGAGAAAACCCCTTATGATTTTTTTCTTCTGGCAAACTGTCGCGAAAGCTCTTCGTGCTTGAGAGAAAAACCGCCCACAAAAATTTGCTTAAGGCATATGCCGAAGTCTTTATAACCAGTCCAATTAGGTCAGAGTCCTCGCCCAATCAAAACCAAGATTGCCAAACAAATCCCGAACTCTCGGTCGCCGAATCCGCCTGCCATTGACGAAAATTCTGGGGAGACCAGCGCATGATGCACGACAGCATACAATAAACAAGAATTACTTTTAATAGTAATGGGAGCATGAAGCACGAAAGGTGTGCTCAGTCGGGGAACCGTTTCATGATTCACCCAGCTCGGAAGATGCTGAGCCCTGCAATGATGATTCAGCAGGCCTCTTTCCTGGCATTTTACGAGGGCAGTTTCATAGATAACCTTACGATGCTCCGACTTCGATCTCCCCTCTGTGTTGGCAGTCTGCGTTCCTCTATGACGACCAGAGCTAAGTTCACGTTCGAGGATTTTCTTTAGTGGATGGGCCTGAACCGGCCATGGTGTGACTCGTATTTCCCAGACTCTGTTGATCTTCGACTGCCCTGGAAAATCCGGTGAACGTGGGGAAGAATCTCACAGCGATCCTTTACGGGTATCTTTCGAGTAGTTCCGGATTTAATTGCACCATCACGTGTGGTAAGAAAACGAGTCTCATCGGGTGATTGTAAACTTCCCGTGCCGATTGAGATCAACCTAATACCGTCAATATCTTCATTTTCACTTAATCAGGTCAGAGCACGAATGTATCTCCTCCTCCTGCTTCTACTTCTCCTACTCCTAGTGCTGGTCCTCCTTCACCCACCCCTCACGGGACTGCAACTCCTTCTCCCACCGCTCACGGGACTGCAACTCCTTCTCCCACCGCTCACGGGGCTGAAACTCCTTCTGCCACTCCTCCACCTCCTTCTCCCACTTCACCCCCTCCTTCTCAACCTTGTGGTGAGTTCGAGGATTCACATTTCCCCCCCCTCAATTTGCAAATTAAAGTTGAGTGATGGTGTTTTGAAAAATTCATTACCGTTTGTGGGATATCTGGGAGTCCACCACACGGGAAAAAAAGCAAGGATCGTTCAGCCAATTCCTTTCCCTCTGACACTGATCGAGTGCTTGGATCACTTCCTGTTCCCTATGCGGGGAAGTATCCCTGCATACTTTTCCGACTCGGGGGAATTCTGCGGGGGTTCACTCATCAACGATCGATACGTTCTCACCGCGGCTCAATGCGTCGATCAGAGGTCTTCATCGTCTTCATTTTTCCCTCGTGCTCATCGGGAAACGATCCCGAATCACTTTTCTCTCCGACTTCCGTTCCTAGTCTCTCGGAAACGTTCTACGTGAACCTGGGAGACTTGGACCGGTCGATAACCAACGAGAGCAAATCCATACGGATTCCTGCCAGGGCCATCATACACCCTCGGTACGATTCAGTTAAAGGGCTCAACGACATCGCTCTACTAAAACTGAAGACTCCGGTGAACTTCAATGAATTTCCCCACATCCGTCCCATCTGCATCGCCTCCAATGCCATCCCAGTCCCTGGGCAAACGTGCACGATCGCTGGATGGGGTTTCTCCGGTGGATGTGAGTTTCATTCGATGAGGCGTGCAGTGAGGCTCGACTGTTATTCCCGAGGACGGTATTTCTTTTTATCCGGAATCTTGACTACTAAGTATCGACCCTAGTCGGGACACAACTCTCTCTGAAGCTATTAACAGGCAGGCCTAAGCAGAACAATACGAACCACCCCGGCTATGTACTTATTGTTGAGCAAGACGTGCATGGGAAATGACAACGGTTATGCCCAAGTGAGTATGCGAAAGTAATGTCTGAAGACGAATTCCGAAATCTCATGCACGTCCCTATATCTTCTTCCAGGGCGACACCGGTGGGCCGTTTATGTACAAGAATCCCATTGGATTTTGGCATCGCGGCCGCGTTGGATTACTCGGCGAAAGGGATATTCGTGAAGACGGCGCGTGAGTGGGCGACTTTTCCCTTAGGATCCCGCTGGAGGTTCATTTCTTTCACGGACTCTTTCCGTTGCAGTTTACGTGAAGAACTTCATCAAGGACAACACGGGAGGGGCTCTCTGGTGCGACGTTCCGGAGGAATGATTTTTCATCTTCACGTCTCCTTGTTTTCCTGCGTTGTTTACTTTTCGTTCCAGAAAGAAATTTCTCTTGGAATTGCATTGCATTCTCCAGTTCGAGTGTCATCACGAAGCTCCGAAATGCTGAAAGAATGCATATTACTTCATTTTGCAAATAAATCTTAAGTAAATCTCAAGTTACTGTCCAAGACATCCTCCTGAAAAAGGAAGTGGATTAGGGAAGCTAAAACGATTAAAAAAAAACATTGGAAGAAAAAGGAAACATGATTTCCATTAATGAACGTTTTATCTTTCATGCTTCTCAGAACCGAATTCTAAGAAGAGACTCAGCGCTCGGCGGCAGAGCACCAAACGGCATCCTGGGTGTTGGGCTTGATGAACCCGTTCACGTAATCTGGAAACAGAAGGAACGCGTCAGAATCTGCCCGGAGGCATATGCGCACAGCCGGTTTTGCATCCACTCACTCGCCGTCTTCAAGCTGATCCCTCCAACGAGGTGTTGGCATTCCTTGGGGGGCGTGGAAATGATCCCGACTTGTTGGTAGAAGCCCGCCTCGGTTTCGGACATGAACGGTCCGCCGACGTCGCCCTGAACGGAACCGACTAAAAATGAATTCTTTCGGCAATTTTCCTCCATTTTCTTTTCCGATGGGTTGGTAGACTCACGTTACAGAAGTTCCTTCCTAATGCATTGGCACAGAAGTTGTTGTCGTTGACGAGGGTGCCCTGATTGTTCTTGCAATACGCCTCCGTCATGATGGTCGCCGTCGACTCTTTCAACACCGTGCTGATCCCCGCTAGGAAATCGCAGACCGAGTCCATGCAAGAGGAGATCAAGGTTTTGATAACTCCAAAGCAATCGCGTCGCGGAAATTCGTCTTTCATTTAAAAAGAGAATAGCACTCTCATCAAATCCGCAACAAAGAGAAATTCTGGGACCGTACTATTCTAAAACGCTTTGGATGGACTACAAAACGTATTTTCTGTAATTTTCCAGTACCTACCTCATCGGAATAAAAAACACTCGTCATAGATAGTGTAGTTATTGAGATTACTATTTAACTATTTCAGATTTATCTTCTTTGGTATCATTAAGTCTAGCATTCGTGATGAATCCCCTTTTTAGCATTCTTAACGGTGTGCAGTAAATAACCCTCAGGCGAGAAGGAAAGTTCAGGATATGATGGTGCGTTTATAGTAAGCGGACCGGAGAGGGACGCGAAAAAAAGATCATGGTTCTTCCATTCTACTCCTTTTTCCAATCCATCTTTCGAAGAATCCCTGCGAAAGCGATGAGCTTTCCTTCGGAAAGACACGACATGATGACACGGTCGTCGTGTCGAGCAGTCAAGAAATATGCAATAGGTGTCGAATGAGATGCTAGAAATTAAGATATTGGAAAATTGGGAATTCAATGGTGCTAATCAAAGCGCAAATCATAGTAGTGAATTAATAAGTTATAAACGTGGAGCTTCGTCTTTCCATTAAAGGGATTATTTAGTGAAACAAAGAAGAATTGGAACAATTTCCCAGAATTAGTGATTACTTCATCAACAATGAATGCTCCCCATCCGTTTCAACTCATACGCGCATATTGATCGAATTGATGCAAGCAATTCCTCACGTCCGTTATCATAACCCCATCCCGCGAATATGCCCATTTGCCCCGGAATGGGCAAGGCATTCGCGGATATGCAAATTGGACGGATACGAGGGAAAGCCTGGAAGTCCACCGGAGAGTTGAGCTTGAGCAGAGCGACGTCGTTCACTTTGGAAACTGGGTCGTACTGCGGGTGGATGATGGCCCGTGCTGGCAGCCGAATGGTATGGGACGGATGCGAGGGAAAGCCAGGAAGTCCACAGTAGAGTTGAGCTTGAGCAGAGCGACGTCGTTCACTTTGGAAACTGGGTCGTACTGCGGGTGGATGATGGCCCGTGCCGGCAGCCGAATGGATTGACTTTCGGTCGTCGTCGACCAGTCCAAATCTCCAAGGGTCACATAGAAAGTGTCCGATGGGCTAAATATTTAGAACAAGGATGAAACGTTCATCAATGGTCAAAGACCGATCATATTTCATGTCCCTTTTCCTTACACTTATAAGCTCTCTTCTCTACTTTGCTTTCTTTCTTAGCTCTGGAGACTAGCTGCGTAACTCGACGTCACTCCTGCATAGCTAGTAACTACTCCCATGGGGGTGTCTTAACTCCTTTATCTTGGAAGTGTGCCATCCAGGGATACTTCCCCTCGTAAGGAACGGCAAATCCCACCCAAATCCGATCCAGGTTGGGATCGGTCGCATTGGTTTGGAAATCGACGGATCTCTTGCCGCTCGGAGGGGGGCTCGCAGGGATTCCGCATTCTGGTAAAAAGACTCGGAATTAGGAATTCATGTACTTTTAGGAATCATATCATGAGATAATTGAATGCGTCACCACTTACTACAAGGAGGAGTTGAGCTTTGACCTGGAAAACGATAGAGAAATTGCAATTATACGGCATATATATCTTTTTTCTGTTTTGACTTTTTGAAGCCTTCTTTGACCTTCTCCCAGGGTATTATTTTAACCATTTTTTTTAATCCCAAGAGAATTCAGGAATCGGGAAAAGAAATAACGAAGAGCGTGTAGACTCTCATTATTATTCGTTGGAGCTTTCTGCAAACTTTCTGCGCGTTCCCTGCCGTTGTATACGCCCTGGCAGGAAGTTTTAAAGTGACTGGAGATCCTGTCAAATCTTCGAAAAAACCCTGAAAGACAGTAGGCACCGAATCTCATCGTAAAGAGAACTACCTCAAAGAAAAGTTCTGGACGCAGTCTCAATGTTACCATCACAGGGAGTAGAGTAGGGAGTGGTCGACGACCGAATTTCACCAGTTAGGAAATTGCGTTACTCCTTGAAGATGTCGAGCGAAGGAATTTGCTACAGAATCTCAACTGGAGCGTCATGGGGAAATTATCAATTTAAAAGATGTTGCTAAACAAAGTTTGATGTTGAATTATAACACTCCGATTTAGATTGGTGGTAACTTTTTAAGGAATCGTCTGATGCAGCTGATACTTGATGGAGATTTTCATGGGCCTAAAACAAATTAGTTCCCTTCTTCACCATGTGTATGGTCATGGCATTGGAACACCGTCTACTCATGGGATAGCTCCTTCGTTAGTCATAATAGATTTCATGCTAAAACGAATGGGACCCATGTTGCAACGACAACTCTCACCACTATTGACAAATAGACCTTTTTTTTTACACAACCTGCTTGAGTACAATGAAGGGTAGCCAAGTGGCCGTAAGATGACGAAAGACCATAATTTGCTGTCCGCATGTGACACTACAGTCGAATCCTGGTCCACTCGCAAGAGAAGCGTAGAGGATCGCTGTGAAACTCTTCCCCACATTCACCGGATTTTTGAAGGGATTTGATGTTCCACATGCCCTGAAAAATTGGAAACTCGACCATGGGATATATGGTTCCTTCGGTATCTGCACGCGAGCCAGTGGAGCCCACGTTTTGTCTCCGTAGAGGAAGGCCGACTGCCAGCACAGAGGGGTATCGGGCAGTTGAAAGTCGGCGCATTGGAGCGTCATGTCGGAGGAGCACTGTCGAGAACCGTGACATCGAGTTGTTACAGTGGCACTTCAAACGGAAGAGAAGCAAGGGTGAAGGGAGAAGGGAGAAGCACGGTGAAAATCCAGTTGCAGTTGTGCCAAGACGGGTAATTGTCTGGATAGTTCATGCTGACGAACGGTTGAGACTGGCCCGGTTGAAGCTGGACTCTCCTTCCACATGGAGGTTTTTGGCGATTCTCTGGGACAGGAATTCTCCTTCAGTGCGGGATAATCATGAGACACGCGATGGAAGTAATCGACGCGAGTGCGGGGATTACCAGGCAGACCAATCGGAGATGACCGCGATCCAGCATCCTCGCTTCCACTCCCAGGTAAGCTCTGTTGAAATTCAAGAACTTGTTTTAGTCTTGGTTTCCCTTGGAAATGAAGAACATGCACAGATTGACCTGGATTGACCTGGCGCAGAACAGGAGAGTGAGAAAGGCGGAAAAGACGTGAATCTCCATGTTTGACGTAACGTCTGAAATTTCAGTTCTGTATTCCGCACATGTTGTCAGGATCCAGCATTTATGGCCTCAGACATCCATGTAAAGTCGATTCGGCAAGTCGATCCCCTCCCGCAAATGGCCACTTTATTCTCCCAGGTGTAGCACGTAGTTTTCCCATTACCTGAGATGGCCGTCTTCCGGCAACAAATTCTTATCCTGCAGAACTTCTCATTTCCCGCATTGGCATCGTCTGCCTCTCCGACATGTGGTACAGGAATACTTTTTTCCCGATTGAATTTTCCCAACTAAGTCATTTCAGGGGGTATTTAAACCGAAACATAACTTTCCGAATCAGGCGTGATGCTTCTCCCTCCTAACGCCTCACTTTTCTTACATACTGCAAAGACCTAATCACTCCGTCCTCTCCCTCTTCTTTCCTGCTCTTTCTCCCACATCCTGCTTTCACTGACTCTGGAGCATCCGCCTTCTACACTCTTCAATTCCGCCTAATATCGGCCCTCTCCTTACTTCATCGCAACATTAACATCTCTCGCCTACTTCCGTCTCGTATCTGCATGTTTTAATCTTACTTCCCTTAATTTAAGGTGATCTCATTATTCTTTTTCCCCCTTCCAGCTTCCTTGCTTTATAATTTTCTTTCCCACCTCCAACCAATCCCTGACCCATGGGTCCAGTGACCGAGATACGTTTCCGCGCCAAAAGGCGGAACGAAAGTACACTACCTCCCTCAAGGAAAGAACTCCAAGCCAGAACCCCAACACCTAAAAGGCCAATTATGTATTTTGCCAACCCAACTGCTAACTAGTGACATCATTCTCAGGAACATCATTGATGTCAACAAATGTAAATGATGTAACGAGAGTATTTTTAGTCGTGGATTCTCCATGACTAAAAATACTCTCGTTCAACAAACTGCTATGACTACCTTTCCACTTTCTGCTAATGAGGTGCAGACAGCTGCCACTCTAAGGAGGGAGAGCGTATCGTTAGAAGCCCCGCTCAACGAGGACAATGGCCCTGCTCCCTTCACAGATGTCACTACCAGACGTAGGCGCAACACCAAGCTAAAGTTACAGAAAATACATTTTGTAGTCTATCCAATGTATTTTAGAATAGTACGGTCCCAGAATTTCTCTTTGTTGCGTATTTGGTATGAGTGCTATTCTCTTTTATTAATAAATGAAAGACGAATTTCCGCGACGCGATTGCTTTGGAGTTATCAGAACCTTGATCACCTCCTCTTGTATGGACTCGGTCTGCGATTTCCTAGCGGGAATCAGCACGGTGATGAAAGAGTCGACAGCGACCATCATGACGGAGGCGTATTGCAAGAAGAATCAGGGCACCCTCGTCAACGACAACTTCTGTGCCAATGCATTATGAAGGAACTTCTGTAACGTGAGTCTTCCAACCCATTGGAAAAGAAAATGGAGGAAAATTGCCGAAAGAGTTCATTTTAGTCGGTTCCGTTCAGGGCGACGTCGTCGGACCGTTCATGTCCGAAACCGAGGCGGGCTTCTACCAACAAGTCGGGATCATTTCCTCGCCCCACAAGGAATGCCAACACCTCGTTGGAGGGATCAGCTTGAAGACGGCGAGTGAGTCGATGCAAAACCGCTATGCGCATATGCCTCCGGGCCGATTCTGACGCGTGCCTTCCGATTCCAGATTACGTGAACGGGTTCATCAAGCCCAACACCCAGGATGCTGTTTGGTGCTCTGCCGCCGAGCGCTGAATCTCTTCTTAGAAATCGGTTCTGAAAAGCATGAAAGATAAAACGTTCAAAAATGGAAATCATGTTTCCTTTTTCTTCCAATGTTTTTTTTTAAATCGTTTTAGCTTCCCTAATCCACTTCCTTTTTCAGGAGGATGTCTGTAACTTGAGATTTACTTAAGATTTATTTGCAAAATGAAGGAATATGCATTCTTTCAGCATTTTGGAGCTTCGTGATAACACTGGAACTGGAGAATGCAATGGAATTCCAAGAGAAATTTCATTCTGGAACGAAAAGTAAACAACGCAGGAAAATATGGAGACGTGAAAATGAAACATCATTCATCCGGAACGTCACACCAGACAGCACCTCCAGTGTTGTCCTTGATGAAGTTCTTCCCACCGGTGTCGCCCTGGACGAAGATATAGGGACGTGCATGAGATTTCGGAATTCGTCTTCAGACATTACTTTCGCATACTCACTTGGGCATAACCGTTGTATAAAGGGTACGTGCAGAACGAGTTGTTATTCATGTATCGGCCCCACCAAGCATAACAAGACGAATCCGGACGGACCATTATCGAAGTCTCTCTCAACACAGGGCTGATCCCAGCTACGAATCATCAG